CTGAGTACATGGCATTAGGTTATACAAAATATTTTTTTTTTTCGCATTATATCAAAATTCTTTTTATCGGCGCCGAAGCCCTGTTGTATATTAGCCAAAGTATGTGTACAATTGTTTGTGCTGGTGTGGAATAAAAGCGCATGTGAGGTTATGTCATCATACCTTTATCGTGATATTCAGTCATGCAACAAAAAGCAAACAGCGCGAACACAAACAGAAATAGAAACAGCAGCAGCAACAACAATAACAACAACAATAGCAGCAGCAGCAGCAACAGCAACAGCAGCAACAGCAACAGCAGCAGTAAAATATTGTTAGTTGTAGTACTTAAATTATAGAACGTTGTAAATTTCACGCTATTCACTGACAGTTGACAAATGGCCAGCAAATGCAACAATAACAACAATAATAAAGTTGTGAGTAATGCACAACTGGATTGGTAAATGGTTCCAATTGCAGCCGCCAGAGGGCGACAGGTCACTGTTTGGTGTTTCGATGAGCTCGAGAAGCTGCTTGCTTCGTTTCAGACTAGAGCTGAGCGCGTTGCGTGCTTTTTCGTGACACGCACGACTTGGCACGAAAAAGAAACTAACTTATTTTCGAGTGTTTTTTTTTTTTTTTGCATTGGCAAAACAACAAAAACTGAAGAGCATTTTAAGATCCAAAAATAAAATGCAAAATAACATTTGAGAGTTTGGCCAAATGCTGCTCATTTTAAATGATTGTAACGTTCAATTAGTCTTTCCCACCGCCGGATTGATAATCATTAAATAAACAATTATTTTAATAAAATAACGTCGCAGTATCTTAATGAGCGCATTTTTATGAAAATTAATCTATGAAAAAAATGTGAAAATATATTTAACCGCAGTATGCAATTATTGGCTACGCATTACCTATTAATTAAACACATAATTAATAACAAATGAAGCAAAGAATCTATAATTAAAGCAAAATACTGTTAAAAGATTCGCGAGTTTCGTGTTCAATATTTAAACGTGCGTGTTGCGTGTGGAGGCAAGGATTTAATGGATGACCTTTCCAAGGATCTAGACGATAAATCATTTGAGACGTGTTTCACACTTTTCGCAGAATCCAGGTTTTCTCGCTGGAAAATGCGATTCAAAGATTTTCTGGCTTTAGTTTTGAGTTATATCCGATTTGCATCAAACTTATTTTCAAAACTCTACGCAAGAACATAATGAATACGTGTTTTAAGCGATTTAGATAATTTCACCCGCAACAGTGATAAATGGGGGGAATGAACGTTGTATGAACGTTTTTTGTTTACCGTCCGATCGGGGTCACGGGCAAGGCCGGGCTATACTCGCTAATATATATATGTATATATATATATATATATATATATGTGCTTTTGTAACAATTTACGGCAAGCTCTTGTTCCCATTACTTCCTTTTCAGATATATATATATATATATATGTTCTCTGAAGTTGTACAAAAACAATGTTGATGTTGGGGATAAGATATACAAATCGATTTACAATACATCTATTTCTTTTGTTGGCCATATTTCATTGAAAATAGGGTATACGACGGGTTGGTATGCAGCAAAGGTCAGTTACACATAACACATAATGAGCAAAGAATTACAATTATTGCCACAGTGGGCCGTTCGTAGCTGGCTAATACTTAATAATAACGGCATCAACTGTCAGCTGGGAGGCGAACAACGGACACGGGCAACAACACATTCAGCAGCAGTAACAACAACCGTATAAACAATAACAACAAATGTACACAAATCACGATTGTAAGAAATCACCTTTTCGTTGTTGTTAGTGTTGTTGTTGTTATTGTTGTTGTTGTTACTGTTGCTACTGTTGTTTTGGTTCCAACCAACACGCAAGAAGCACAAATGAAGCAAAATAAAAACAAATCAGAGTAAACGCCTCACAAGTTGCAACCGGTAGATACCCTATAAAAAGCTCGGGTCTTTCATGTTTTATATGTGGCATTAATAAATTAATCTTCATAAATGCTAATTTTTATATGCTTCAATAGAATTAGAAGAATAGAATTTATCTAATTTATTTAAAATCGAACTCATTAAAGCTTTCTCCCTGATCTTTTATTGATCTATTTTAACTCTTAGATTGAATTATTTGCATTGAGTTTCTCTTATAAAGGGTTCTTGAGAAACATTACACAAATTACTCGACATTTAACATTACTTATCAATCAATACCTTTACATAAAACCCACTTGGGTTTATTTTTTTTTTTTAACTTTGTCGTAGCAAACTTTAGTGTACCCGTTCTGCGCGTTTAATGGGCACAGGGTATTATAAACGAAAACGAAAATCGACAAAGTAAAATTAACAATTACATAAAACCTTGGAGCTAGTCCATACTACATACTACACACAGCTTGGATTAACGGGCATGGGAACTGTCTTCGCCTTTTGATGGAATCAACGACGGATGACCCAAGCCGAACTGAGCCGAAGACCAACGGACGGACGATCGAACGAGCATACTTGCCTAGTTGCTTGATTAACCTTCTTTTCAATACCCTGGGCCAATTGAGAATGTCTAAAAGGGGTATACTGGTTTCGTGCATATGTATGTATGTAACAGGTAGAAGGAAGCATCTAGATCTAGCCATATCTCGTCGATATGGAAAACTGCAAAAACTAAAGACTACAAATTTAAAAAATATGTATATTCTTACACCCTGCGCCGAACGAGTTTATCATCATCCAAAATTATCTATAATATTTAGAGGAAGATAAAGCTACCGGCAGCTTGGCGCTGGATTTAGGGTATCTTCCAATCGGTCACATTTCGACTGGAGCACTCTTGTTTTTAATTACAATATTTTTGTTTTTGTGGCGCGGGTTCAAGGGAAACGAATACGCTGGCAATTGCTGCAGTCAATGCGACAACCGACAACAACAACAACAGCCAGCACCAGAACGGGATGAAAATTGCATCGACATCGAAAGGAACACTGACTTCCCAGCAGAACTGAGGTGCATGAAGAATATACAGGTATGTGCACACCTATTTGCTCGTTTGTTCTCCAAGAACGTGTCGTCTTGGGGTATTCGATGTTGCTTTTTAATTCGTTTGGGTTTACATTTCGGATTCCTAATTACGAGATGAGTATGCAAAAGCATGAAAAGAGAAGGGACGTTTTCAGGCCATTGTTATTTATGACTTTCAGCTGAGTTCGTCGGCTTGTTCTCTGAGTCATGGAACGCTAAGATACTATTTTTTTTTTTTTTTTCATTATAAAAGTTTAAGTTTGGATTTAACTATTCTTGTTTCCGTTACAAACTAAATGTAAATATAAATATGGTTATGAGACTTTTTTATATTATCTTCAAAGATATTTAACATTTTTCGTAATTATGTAAACTTTTTAAAAAAAAATATATATATATATAAATGACTTAATTTCTTTTCCGCTCGATCGCAGTCAACAATTTATTTACTGCATTTTTATACTAAAAATGTTCGTTATGAACGTCAAAAATGATTCATAATATTTTATAGCCTTAAAATGTTAAGTAACCTCCTTTATTACTTGATTTCCCACTAAAACTTGCGGCGTATTATGCATGTATTATTTCTAGCAGCAAAATTTAAATGCTTCATTTTTCTGCTATTTAGCCTTGGCTAGGACGCACAATACGGGTACGCGGGGAACATATTGGGGCTCATTTCGAAGATCTACGTACAAAGAGGAAGAGAGATAAAAAGAGAGAGAGAGAGAGCAGAAGGTCGCAAAGGCAAATTTGCATATGCCCTTGCTAACAGGAATTGTGAATTTGAGCTTGAGCTGAGCACAAAAGATCGTCAGAGCGAGGCAAAAGCTTTAAAATGCCAGAGAGGAACGATGGGAAAAAAGCAGGAAGACAACTTTCGCTGTTTATGTACAACTGTAGCTGTGTGTATGTGTGTGTGTGTGTGTGTGTGTACGTAAAAGATACCAACAGCAGCAACAGCAACAAGAATCATGTTGAAGTAACTCAAAATGCAACAAAAAGGGGAGTGGGAGAGTCAAGTGAAGTGAAGTGGAGTACATAAGTAATTCGTTTTCGTTTCTTCTGGTTGTTTATGTTTTAAAAAGTGCACAAATAAACAAAAGATCAAAATAAATTCAAAAACAGACTTATACTAAATGTAAAACAATAGGGCTAGGCGCTAGTGGGCAGTGTGCGACTGGCAGGATACCCTGTACTCTCATACACATACATACGTCCCCCACTAAGAGGCATTTAAAAGCCGCTAACTAGATCAAGATTAGCGCTATACGAAGTCTTGGCCAGCAGAAGCTAGTGAAAATTCACACTCACATGAACAGTGAGCAAGTGAGCAAGAGAGCGAGAGGGAGAGGGAGAGAATGAGCTGCACAGTAATTTTTGGTAGCGCTTCCTCTTCCTCATGGGGCGCACACGCATAAAAAACACACACGCACACATCCTAAACAAAAGAAGAGAATGTGAACGAAATGGAGATGATGATGCTGATGATGATGATGGGTATGATGATTATTACGCTGAGATTCTTTGCTCCTACGTCGTCGCAGCAGCAGTTGGTGCTTCTTCTTCTTATTCTTTGGTAACTATATATTTTGCTTGAACTTATTCTTTTTCAATGAAAAAGACAAAAAAAAAAAAAACATCAACAAAATATAAAAAATAAAACGAACCAAAAAATAAAGCGAGTTTAGGTGCGTCTTCTCAATATGCAAACTTTGCAGAAGTTTGACATTTCATTTCTTTCACGTTGCAGCATTTGTTGTTGTTATTCTGTTTGTTGTTGTTATTGCTGCGGTGACACTGGCGTCGGCATCAATGGCTGCGGCGACGACGACGATGAAGGCGGCCACACGAGCATTAATTGGCGGCGTCGCCTCCAACACTTTGGCAAAATTGTGGGGAAATGCTGCTGTTGTTGCTGGCTACTGCTGTTTCCCCTAACCACCCCAAACAACCATCACAATTTTTTCTTTACATATATTTAGACGCACTTTTTTTACTCGCCTTTTTTTGCTACAAAAGCAAATTTCACACACGCACAACTTCGATTACGATTCACGCGGGCCACATGCAGCACACTTGTTGTAATTGATTCATTCGTTTTGTGTTATCACGAATGTGTGTATGTTTAAGCACAGTTAACTTATTTGTTTGCATGTGCAGTGTATAATACGAGCGTAAAAAAAAATAACAAATTATGATTCTTTTTTTGTCCGAAATTGCATCCGCTTGGTGAGCGAGCGCTTGAACGTATGAGTTAGAGATGGCTACAAATATCGATAGGGCGACGAAGTCGATACATATTTTCTAGCGATATGTGAATTCACATCGATATTTATTTCGAGATGAGCGCAAATGCAATTAATCGCAACTGAAATTAATCGGCAGCATTTTAAACAATTAGGAGCATAACAAAATTAAATGAAAGATTTATTACTTTGTTGCGGATGAAAATCTGCTAAATATAAAAAAATCGTGCTATTTAACATAAAAGCTTATTAATGTTTATGTATTTAATATAACAACATACACATTGAGGACATACATACAAATTGTTTATCAATCAAAAGTCACAACAAACTAAAAGATAATGTTTTAAAGGTTCGTTTATGTGAACGCTTTGATATCGCACAATGTCTTGCTATGATAATGTAAACATTCAAAAATATCACGATATTGTGTGTCGGTAATAAACGATACTATCGGTAACAGCGATATATGTTCGCAGGTCTCAACCACTAGCCAGACAGCGACAAACGAACAGTCCAAAAACGAAAAAATGAGAAATATTTGTTGAAAAAACTAAATAAGCCAATCGCAGTGTAAGGTAACTACTCAAGTGCACTATACTTGGCCCGGCTGCCAATGGTAACGTTGAGGTCAACGGCAAAAACCGCAGTTAGCCGTTTGGAAGATGTGCGCAGCGATTCATTGATGGTTGATATAAGCAAAGCAGGCTGCAAAACAGAGCCCAACAACAAATAGTAAACGGCGCAATCCCAACGAAGTTTGGCAGCAGCAACTGCAACCGGAGCAGCAGTATTGAATAGCAACAGCAGCAACAGCGAAGAGCCTTAGCAGCAGCAGGTGATGGCCGCCGCGTCGCCAGATGCACAGCTGGCTGCCAATGTGGACTTCAGCGAAATCACGCTCGGCGAGGTGAACGTTTGACCAATACTGGGTTAGCTCATATCGAATCTGATCTTTCTCTTCTTCCCCATAGAAAGTCGGCCATGGATCATACGGTGTTGTATGCAAGGCTATCTGGCGTAATCAGTTGGTGGCCGTCAAAGAATTCTTTGCCAGCGCCGAACAGAAGGACATTCAGAAGGAGGTCAAACAGCTGTCGCGTGTTAAGCACCCAAACATAATTGCATTGCACGGCACCTCCTCGGCTCAGCAGGCCACATATCTGATCATGGAGTATGCCGAGGGCGGTTCCTTGCACAATTTTCTGCATGGCAAAGTGAAGCCCGCCTACAGCTTGGCGCATGCCATGAGCTGGGCACGCCAATGTGCCGAGGTGATCTATATTCATTTTAAATGTGTAAAACTTGAGTTAAATGTGCATTATTATCATCAGGGTGTTGCCTACCTGCATGGAATGTCACCCAAGCCACTCATACATCGCGATCTTAAGCCGCTCAACTTGCTGCTGACCAACAAGGGTCGCAATTTGAAGATTTGTGACTTTGGCACTGTGGCTGACAAGTCCACCATGATGACAAACAATCGCGGCAGCGCTGCTTGGATGGCGCCCGAGGTGAGTTGAACCCCAGTTCAATCGCAGCAAATGCAGTAGCTGCAGCTGTTTCCTTGTTTGTATTTAAACCAAGAGCTTAGCTTAAGCTCTGATATATTAGTCATGTCTAGCGCTTCTATTTATAATTTCCTTAGATGTTCACGTAACAGTCCTTCTGGAAATTGAAAACAGAACTAAAATGCATGATTTATTGTTGTTTTTTTAAAATGTGGATCTCAGTAAAAAGTCACAATTTATGTACTGTCTGAACTGGGAACTTTAAGAGTAAAACGTGTCGACTGTTCGTAATACTTCTCTTCAACAGGTGTTTGAGGGCTCCAAGTACACGGAGAAGTGCGACATCTTTAGCTGGGCCATTGTGCTGTGGGAGGTGTTGTCACGCAAGCAGCCCTTCAAGGATATTGACAATGCCTATACCATACAGTGGAAGATATACAAGGGTGGGAAGCGCTTGCGCAAGTCGATAAGGCATCATATTAATTGTTATTTTTATTTTTACTGTTACAGGTGAGCGACCGCCACTGCTGGACAACTGTCCCAAGCACATTGAGCAACTAATGACAGCATGCTGGAAAACGGCGCCTGAGGATCGACCCTCAATGAACTATATTGTGGGTGTAATGAATGAGATTATCAAAGACTATGTTGGCGCCGATAAGCCGCTAGAATACGCGTTTGTCAACCAACAGGTGAACGCAATGAAAACTTACCTGAAATACAGTGACTCCAATGATTCATTACAGATTGTGACCAAAGAGAGTGACGGCACGGTAGCCGCTCAATATGATGGCCAAAGTTACAGCTCCAGTGATATGAGCCTGGCGTCTACACAGCTGACGCCCACCAATGTGCAAGGCACTACGACTGAGATTGCAACTGGCACTGGCAGTGGCACTAGCTCCAGTAACAACGAATATACCTCATCAGAAAGAACGCCCACAAATTCGGGCCAACTTGACAATAATGGGCTGTTCCATATGAGCAGCAGCAATCGCTGGGATGCCATACCCGAGGAGGAAAGCGGCGAGAGCCAAAATGATAGCTTTAATTTAACATCATCCGCAGAGGCATCAAAGCGTTTGGAAACCATACGCAACGGCATGATGCAAATGGCCAACAGGGTTATGGAGCAACTCACACTGGATGTTGAGCCGGTACGCCGCTTATATATGCCCATATGAAAATGTATAAATGTATTTATTTTTCGCTTTCTGCTTGCAGAATGGTTTTGATTCGCATCGCAGCGAGAACAGCCGCAGCAGTTCGCATGGTGAGTTCCTGATTGCAACTACTGTCATTGTTGCCGTCGTTGTCGTCCGATTGTCTGTGCGAGTGAATCAGATGCACATTAACACACTCTTTTGGATGAACACGATTGAGGCATGTAAATTGTTGTCGTTGTTGTTGCAAATAGCTTAGCGACTCGTCAGCTTTGCATTCAGTTCAGAGTCTCGCTTGCCATGTGGCAGCTGTTGGTCTGGGGTCGATAGCATGACGCACCACCACCACCACCACACCAATAATAACAGCAACAACAACAACAACAACAACACCCCATCACTTAATCTTTTGTAAACAATGCGTTTGCCATCTCGCTTTAACCGCAGTGTTTTCGTCCGTTTTAATTGCTCGATTTTTGTTTAATTAGTCGTTGCGTTGTTTTTATTATGCAAAAACACATTTTTGAAAACATTTTGCAATTGGCACTGTCTCAGGCGGCCAACGTTATAAATATGCGATGCGCTCATGCATTAGCAAAAATTGTCGACACCAAATGTTGCCACTGCAACAATGCGCTTGCCAATGAATACCCGCACTTAAGATAATACGAGTGATAATCATTGTTGCGAATGAATAGACTATTGACTACACTTTGCCTCTTGGCTGCGCTCTAAAAAGAAACACGCCAATTGAATTATTTACAAAGTGACACAAATTTCAAATGGGTCATTCTTTAAAGTTTTTGGATTATTATATAAAATGAAAAATATGCACTAATCATAGTATAAGGCATCATTGCATTCATAACTCAAGTTTGGGTACTACTTCCCAACGAATTGTTTATGCCCTGTTCCAGTTGAAAAAGGCTGCTTATGTGTTTTATTTTTTTAAATTTGATTTTCTGATAGAGATTATTGAAAATGAATTTGAAGCAGTTCGCACCAATATTTTACTTCGCCTTAGTTCATAAATTTTCACTAGACAGATTTGAATATTCCGATGTACGAATTTTCACACAGATCGTTGAAATTGAATTTGAGGATGGATTTATAAATTTATTAAATATTTTATATTTCTTAAATCCAATTGGAGTAAGATAAACCCATTATAGAAACAACTGTGTTTGTTGATATGTTGTATCTTTAATTGCTGAGTTCGTAACTAAAAAGCGTAAGCCTAACACCTGAACAACATAATATGCCCAACTCATGCAGGGTAACGCTCATAGTAGCACATTGCGCACAATTATCGTAGCATTGTGTGGATTGGCTAGCTAGCTGGCTGGCCGGCTGGCTGGCAATTTCGAGCAAATTTATAGCCATGAGATGCACCGTCACCACAGTCGCCCCTTTCGCCGCCAAAGAAGTGCCAACAAAATATGAATTCAAATTAAACAAAATCAAGAAAGAACGGCTCGCCGTAGTTGAAATACCCTTGTGCATGCTTGGCTGGCGGACTTACAGATATGTGAGAAGAATTACTGAGTTTGGTAAAAATATCTTGAAGAACAGTCAATTTTTCCATATCAAAACTGATCATTCGATTGATAAGCTTTATTTCATTGGGCCAAGTTTGGTTTGGAAACATAAAAGATCTTTTAACAAAAAGTTTATTTCTGAAAAGTCGCGGCAAAGGCAACTATCTAAATCACATATTGCAAGATATGGCATACATTTAGTATGCATATGTCAAGATATTCTGAAAAAACAAGAAAACGAAAACGTTCAGATAGCTGATAGAGACGGACACGGTTAAATCGACTTGGCGATCAAGACTATATGCACTTATAATGTCGTCTTCTAAGCATTACACATTCCCTGACAAAATTATAATACCCTCCGATAATAGCTTATGGCTGCGGCACACACAGATGACGAGGCTGACAGACTCGGGCGGCCAAATGCCTGCCCCACTGCCACAGCCTCCGCTGTTGCTCGCCCAGCCGCTCGCCCGCCCGCAATGGCCGTATTGACCAGTGAGTCATCTGGCTTTTATTTCGAATTTCGTACATATAGTGCACATCTATATATATACATATATAGAGACAGACATACATATATGCTTGGCTATATGGACACATGTATGTGAATATATACATATATACATACATATCAATTAAAGCTAGAAGAGCGAAAATTTCATTTTAATGGGCACGGGGACGGATATCACGAGCGAACGATCATTGAAGATGAATCTTTTTGGATTGTGGACTAGCTGGGTGCACACGAAACAGTCTTCGATCCTTATGGGTGTGGGTGTGTTTTTGTTGTTGTTGCAGTTGTTGTGCCAATTAAATGCATTGACAGCAGCGACCTAACTAGTCACTAGGTCACGCCCTGGGCGGTTGTGGAGGGGGAGGTGGAGGGGCCGTGTCGGAGCATCGTTGGCATTTATCGCAGCGGAGATTTCCCAACCGCATGCCAGTCGCATTATTCATCAAATGAACATCAGTTCGATATAAGGAGCCAGCACTTCTAGCTGATGATACATATGCACAGCATCTATATGTATAATGCTTGACTCTCCTGGCATACAGTGTGTGCTCATCAATTCGTAACGATTTGCCAGCTGCTCTTCCTCTTGCTCATTTTTCTGGGGCCGAACGAAGTCGAGCGGATACGGTTCTTCGACAGCGGCGGCCAACAGATCCCCATTCGGTCAGTCTATGTTTGGGCACCGTGCTGTCTTGAGTGCCGCAATGTTATTGCAATTTCAAGTAGCAGCAACAAAAACAACAGCAACCAAGTTCATTGAGATTGTTGTCATTGCCGGGCGTTTGACTAGCCACGCCCATACGCCTTGTGCCCCGGCCGTGGGTTAAATTTGTTACGAAAATCTGAAGCAAATGATGGAAATATGTGAACAACAAATTGTGCTGTGAAATTAGCAAGAAAAGCGCAAAAAGAAAAAACTTAACAACAACAAATAAACAATATAAGCAAGAGAAAGAGAGAGGGCGAGAAGAAAAACAGACGAACAGCGCGAAAATTCGTTAGAAAATGTTTTGCTTTCGATGTGTCTGTAGTTTATAGTTTGATTTTCCAATTTTACCAAGAAAAGCCAACCAACCCAGCACGTCTGTGTGGAAAATACGTCATCAGAAGAGACACGAACACAAACACACACACACACACACACACCTTACGCACCTACACACCTACACAGTGATCCATCCAAGAGAGAAAGAGGAAAAGCGGAAGAGAGAGTGAGAGCCAGAGATAGTGAGAGGGGGCGCAACACTTGCTCATCGCATGGCAGGATTGTTGCACTCTCCACAGAATCTTGGGTTCTTATTGTCTTGAGCCACATTTTCGGGTTATATAGCACCCACTTACTCACACTAACCCAAAAAAAAAAAAAAAAAAAAAAAAAAAAAAAAAAAACAAAATGATCGGACCGCGCACATAAGACTCTGTCAACATTATCATCCAAATCTGGAAACTATTCAGTGCAAATCGAAAGCAAACTCGCAACAATCAACATGTGCGACACGCGCGCCCTGATCACCACCAAGCAGACCAACGATCTGCACAGTTGCTGGATCATTTATAGTACGTAAATATGACCAACTATAGACGATTTAGCATACCGATTTATAATGATTTTAACGCTGCATCAGTCCCCTTATAAAGTATAAAAAGTCACCTTATTAAGCATAACTCATAAATAGCAAGTCGTAGATACGGCACCTTTGGTATGTAGACAGACTCTCTTATAGTATTCGAGGAAATTCCACAGTTTGGATACCCGCCACATGCTGCCGAATATTGGATCAAGTCCGTTTTAATAGGTAGAGCCTCACGGTACGGTATATTCATAAAAATCGGAGTTAAGTCTGCATTACGTGTATGTATAGAAGGCAGATGAAATGCTTAAAGCTGGATTCAGCTGCAGGGTAACTCCCAGTCGGTCACAGCCGACTAGTTCCATCTTTATTTTGTTGTTGTCATATCGGTTCTATATAAGTGCCTTGACATATTTTGCCGTTACAGCCAAAACTGATGGCCGGGAACGACTGACAGTGACGGATACGAAGCCGGCAGTCATGACCAGCAGCAGCAGCAGCAACAGCAATAACAGCAACAACACCACAGACCTCACTAATAACAATAATAACAACCAGAACAATAATTCTAATAACAACGAAATCTATTTGTCGAATGGACTGCTTAGCCACGCCCCTAACGCTAATGATCCAAACGATTGCGTCGATGCCGATTTGGATGTGGATGCAGATGCGGATGTAGATGCCGGCTGTGGTTGCACAGAGCAATCATTGGCCGAGATCTTGGATCCAGAACTGCAGCCAGAGCCACCCATACCGAACAATGTTGAATCGCAGGCAATCTATCGCGATCATCGCCACATGGCCAAGGAGTATCTGAGCGTGGACACGAACCTCTACTATGCGCAGGACTTTAAGGAGAAGCTGATACTGCAAATGGATCGCTTCGAGCGCGAACAAAAACAGGAGCTCTTGCGCAAAATCAAAGACAAGGTATGTAAAAAGAAAACCCAGCCAGTCACTCCCGACTTTGGCACTCTTGTTATATATTTTCTGAAACTAACTCGTTTTTTCTACACTCACCTGTACAGGAGGGGCTACAAAGCCTCTACAATAATCTGCAGCAGCAGTGGGAGAAGCTGCCAGCCGCACGCCAAGCAAACACTCATGTGCGCCAACAGCCAACGGGGGTCGGCAATAGCCAAGAGCTACAAGGTGGCATCGCCGGCGGCGACTCCGTGGAGAACGATGGTTGGGTCGTTATAGCCCCGCATCATAACACATAGCTCTCTCATGGTCGCTCTGGAATCTATGTGACCAATAGCTCTGTACTTCCATGTATTTGTTCAACTTTAAAAACTTAATTTTTAACTCTAATTATAGCAATAACTGTAACATGTAACTGTAACTGTAACTGTTCTTAAGTTAAGGCTCCTTTTATTTTAGACATAGCTCCTAGATCTGATCTATATATATATTAACGTATATATATATATTTTTTAGCGATGCCTAAGCGCTTAGTTTTAGCCGTGTTGCTTGTTTCACGTATATATGTATTTACTATGAGAGTAGTCTAGTGTTATGCATGTGCATATGTAAGTGACGATATATTATGATGTCCATATGTGTATGTGATGACAAACGCTTACCAAAAATATATAAAGCTTTGTCAATGGGTTGTATGTCCGCTCCTTGGCAAGTTCAATTAAAAGTAATCTGTTTTGTTTTCTTTATACGTGGGTATACCCCCAGCGATGCTGGATTTTCATAGCTTGTGTTTGATGAATTTTGATTGTTCAGCTTTTAATGTAATAATAAAGCAGATCGGAAGTATGCTAAAAAGCAAGCCCACCCATTTTCCACGCAGCGGCGTGAAAACTATAAACTCATTTCAAATGGATGCAACAAGTAATTGTCGATCTATTCTATTGTTCAGCTTTAAAGGGTAAAAGTTGAGCTGAAAGCAGCCCACCTATTTGCCGCCCAGCGACATTAGAAAAAATCGAATCTTGCGGAATACCAGAAAAGTATCAAAAGATTTTCACACAACTTGACATTCCTTAGGCACAAACAATATTATCAGCATATATAAATTACATCGATGATTTTAATTTATAAAACAGTTCATATATTACTAACAAAAAGAAAATGTTTATTTTAAATCGTTTTCTAGATATTAACTAATAGTTAAATATTCGAACGGTTGACCTGCTATTAACAATCGTTTTGGTGGCCTTGCTTGGCACATTGCTTCACTGTACAGTAGTAACATGGGAATAGCATTTTCAGCATGGGTTTGGGGGCATTTCTATATAGTTGCATTGCGTTGTTATCAAATCAGATCTCGAGTAAATTCGTTGCAAAGGGCGCGCTGTTTGGGACACGCTGCTAGGAGTCAAAGCTGGGCACATAAATGGCGGCACATGTCGATTCCCAGACATCGTTTGGTGTATCCCATGAGTCCTTGCGATGCCACCAGTTGCCTGTGTCCAGATCGTACGCCATGGTCTCCGAACTGGCGCGATCAATCGACTCCGTTGAGTCCAGTCCGCCCACAAAAAATATGGTGCGACGCATTGAGGTGACGCCCGAATAGAATTTTGGTGCGGGTATTTTAGTTTCCACGCTCCACGTATTGCTCTTAATATCATACGCATAGATGTGCTCCACCAGCACGCGTGACTCCCTCAGCGTCTCGTGCCAGCCGCCGCACGCATAGATGCGATTGTCAATTGCCACCAGCACATGGTCACAGCATGGCGTCGGCATCGGCGCCAGTTCCATCCAACGTTCGCTCTTCGTGTCGAAGCACCATGTGCTAGACAATATGTTAGCCAGGTGTATGCCGCCTGCATTGAGAGCGAGAAAGCAGTTCCGTGAGTGTTTGAAACCCAATTTTAACTATATTCATTTTTAGTTTAAACAGTAAACTAGTTGGTATTTCCCAGCCTTATTTGGTCCTAGTTATATGCTTCCAATTTTACACATCAATTTTCCACCCGTTTTCCGCCCGTGGAAAGTTAAATCTACCTTTAGTCCATGTCTCAAGTATAATTTTAGGAATCTTGAAGCTTAATTTTGTATCTAAGAGGGATGGATTATACAAAATGCCTAAAACACGTCCTTAATGAACTTTGATAGTGATCCTTTTACCAAGCGGGGCTGGATTTACAGGAAAGTGTGAAATTTCTCTCAAATGAATTTGAACAAAGAGCTTTGAAAATAATATACTCAAGGCGACCCGAATTCAGAAGAATAATAGTCAATCATATAAAATAAATAAAATCATATAAATCCCAGATTTATTAGGACCAAGCTTAATATTTAAGCTATTAGCTTTCACCCATATTTCGCTTGTGGAAATCGATGCATATATGTTTGAGATTTAAATTTCAAACCCGTTGAATAACTAAAAAAGAGATTTACACGAATCTTTCATCTTTGTCTGTGGAATTAACTCAAATTCCATTTCAGTGCTTGCGTCATAAAAGAAAAAACAGGGAACTCAGCTATTAGCGATTTGGGCTTATACATTACCGGAGATATAGAGCTTGTCGCCGACAACGACGCCCGCATGCTGGCTGCGATTTTCCTGCAGGCTAGGCATATAAGTCCACGTATTGCTGACAATGTCATAACGCTCCACGTTGGATATGCGACGCAGTGCCTCCTCGGAATTATCGTCGTGCTCAACGATGCCACCGACGGCATACAGATGCTGCTTGCCAACAGCATTGAGCGAGAAGCGGCAGCGATCCAGCTGTATGGGTGCTATCGTCACCCAGGAGTCGCGCAGCGGGCAGTAGCGAAATCCAAACGGATGAATATACTCCTTAAGGCACACATCGTAAGCACCGCCTACAATGAAGAGTTCGTTGTTCAGAACGGCAGTGCCAAAGTTGCCTGCAAAAGGATGCGTTAGCTCGATTAGAAAGTGGGGAAATGGGGCTGGGAATGATTATTGCTTACATTGATCAATATGCGGTATGGAGGTTAACTCGTACCACTTCATTTTAGTTGGCGAGAAGCACATAATCTCATTGGTCAGACCCTTCCACTCGAAACCGCCAATTTTGAGCAGACTCAGTTCCATGCCGCGCATATTGGTGGGCCCCTGGCCCTGCTGCAGGCAGTGCTCGAGTGCCTCAGAGCTTGACTCCTGGACGGTGCCGCTCTCATGCAGCTTGGCCAGATACTTCTCGACCAGCGAGTAGTTGTGATGACGCAGCGATTTCAGTTCGTCGCAGCTGATGTACTGCCATTTGATAAGGTGGAGCAGCTCGAGCAACGCGCCATCGTCCAGCTGCTGTTCGAGCGCGTAGCTGCAGAGCAGACGCACCAGCTCCGGTTCGCTGACATCAATCGGATAGTTGCTGGAAAGTATAAAGTGCAGCTGCTCCAGTTTGACATCCTTGAAGTCATTGCTGGCGGCAAACTCCTTAAAGTGTGCGCATATATAGCGAAAGGCGCGCTCGGCGAGCGCCAGTTGACCATAAATCTCGGCCATGCTTGCTATGGCCAGGCAGTTGTCCATGCTAATCTTTTGCTCGAGAAAAACGGTACAGCGCTCAATGACCTCCTTGACCTGGACATGGGTGGCTGCCGCCAGCGTTTCCTCCACATTGTCCACATTCAATTCCAGCAGCGATGTATATATAAAGATTATGATGCGGCTCATAGCGCGCGCCGTAACGCCATACAGTGTGATCTCCTCCTTACGCGACTCGATCATGGCACAGTTCGCGAACATGGCGCAAAAGTAGTCGCTACTGGCCGCCAGCACCACGCGATGCGCCTGCAACATAGACCAGCTTTAGTATATACATTTATAGATCTAGTGGGCATAGTTGTACGCACCTTGAAGCGATGATCCTCCACGATGAGCGTCACATCTGTCAGCTTGCCCTGGGAGCGCAGCTTATTTAGGCCACGCAACAGGTTCTTCTCACCGGCGGCAACTGTTGCGGACATATCGATCGCCGCTTATCAGCAAACGTGACGCACTGTTCCACTGTTCCACTGTTCCCCCAACCTTGCCCCCTACTAATCAATGTGACGATGACGCTGATGACGCTGACTACGACGACAGCATGCTCCAGTTGGGAGTAGGCGGCAGCGATAATCAACTAGACGACGGCGCACAGATACACACGCACACATATAAATAAGTATTAAATTAATGAAATACTTGCTGATAGCGAAATCTACGGAGTGAGCGGCTGGCGGAATGGCGGGGCAGCGGCACTTCGATTGCGGGCTCTAGTTGAATTTTAATGTTTACAATATTGCGACCAGCTGTTGCCTTTTGTGCGTGCGCATGTGTACATAAATAGTATCTCTTATTTGTGTGCATATAAAAAATGAATGTTTATTCTCATGAATTATTAGCATGCACCGTTAGGCAGAGGGCTGCCCACGTTTAAATTATATATGCGCGTTTTATTAGTTGGTTATTTTCTTGATTTTAGCCTAAGCTGATTGCAACTGTTGTATATGCCCTACTACAATATTTTCTTTTATGTTGAAAGAAAGTGTGCGTTTGTTTGTATGTGTATATCTTTGTATATCAATAGTTTTCAGGTGTTGGTTAACGTTTCGCTGTTGCGGCGAATTGTTAACAGCTGAACTTTTCGGCACAGCATTTACCAACACATGTCGCATAGTGCGAAGCTTTATCGTAATAATTAATCACACTATCTAAGACGGTAATCAAGCGATTTCTTTTTTTCCGAGAGTTTCGCTGTAGTTAAGTTAAGAAGTGGGGTTAAGTCTTTAACGCTTCTTCTTTTTTTTTTTTTTTTTTTGCATATATGCTTGGTTTATCTTGTGGCCTGTTTGAAAGAACCGTTAAGCTGCCAGAGTTCCTGTTCGTGTAATTCAAAATGTCTTGAGATAAATATATGTCCATTTATGTGATTGACTTATTAAAGTATGTAAAAACTGTTCACATTTATCGTATGTATGATGATCTACCTTATAAACTAAGTCTATTAAAAATCAAAAACTGTTTTTGTTACAACAGTTCTATAGAGATTACTTGAATTTATGAGAATCGCGTAGTAAAGCGGCATTTACACATTTTGTGTCATTTTTCTAATGCAGCACAGCAGAAAACCAAAACTAAGCTTAGTACAAAATAAATTACAATAATACATAATTCAACTCTACTCATATATAGGTATTTCTCCATATATACTCACATCTGGCGTGTCATGAACTGTGTAGGAGCAAGGTGAGTATATAAAAATATGAAACAATTGAATGACATTAATAATAAATATGTACGAGTTATTTCAAACGGGCTGTGTGACGAGCTGATTAATCAATAAAAAATATTTATTCGATATTTATAACATTTGTACTTAACATACACTAACTACATCTATCTATATACATTAATATCTACAATGCGTACTCTAAGCTAAGCTCCAGCGGAGACGTTTACATTTATTTGGACGCGAGCGAAGCGATAGTCACGACTATCCTCATTGCGCACCAGGCAGAGCAGGGGCACACCCGGCTGCCTAACTTGCAGCAGTTGACGTAATCCACGAGCCGTTATATAGCCCACTCCGCAGACGGCTGCCTCCACGAAGCTGAAACCGGCGCAGGTCACATAGCCGAGCACCTCGCGACTGCATTGACGGCGCACGCTGTCGTGCTTCTTGGTTGGATCGCTGGGCAGCCAGAGGTCACACATTTTAGCAAACTGCTCGCAGATCAAGGGCCCTGTCCGGGCGGGACGAATGTGGACGCGCTTTGTGCTTGTCTCCTGCAGTTTACGCTTCTCGCGCACGCGACGGGAGCGCAAGCGCTTTAGCAGACGCTTGTGTTGGTGTCGCAACTGTTTGCGTAAACGTTCGTTAAGGTCGCTCTGCAGTGGCTCGGTATGCACGGGCTCGTGCTCGTCATGCTTCTGCTGCTGGCGACGACGCACCCAGTCCGAGGGTGTTGGCTGGCAGATCAATGCATTGTCCTTGAGTTTGCCGCGCGCATGCATACGCACTTCAATCTGAATAAGACACAATTCCGAGATCGTCTCCGGGAACTCCTGACGACGGCGCACGCAATCGTCCAGGCACTGCAACAACTCGCGATTGCGCAGCACAAAATAACCATGCGTATCCTTATAGTGCTCCACGGACCAGTCACGCACTAGCGAATGCCATGGCGCCACAAATGGACTGACCACCGACAGCCTACGATAGTTGCAGCGCTTGTTGGGTGGCTGGCGGAAGTATTGAGCACGACGCTCCTTGGCTGTCTGCGATGTCTGCTGTTGTCCTGTCGAAAAGATCAAACCAGCAATTATTCAGCCCTAAAAAGGAGCTAGGGCAGTGACTTACCGGCCACAGTGTCCGGCAAATAATGATCGATTCCCGACTCTCTGGCTACCGAGTCGAATTCTCGCAGTCCACCTGGTCGGGCGCCCCACATGATGAGCGTCTGCCAGAGCACCATGCCGTAACGGGCAGGCACAATCACATCCCAGCCAGCAGCATAGCCCAAACGTTTGTACTGCGCCTGTTGGGAGCCTGGGCGCTGTATCAGCAGGAGCGGCAGTGGCTGCAGTTGATCCTCAAAGTCGCAGCGCTGGCCGGGCACAATGGCATGCAAGGAGCGCAGCTGATTATATTTATGTTGCGGCATCATCGTCTTACTGAGACGTTCGCGAAACTCTGAGTCCCACAGATCGCTGTGCGGCGGCTCCTTTGGCTGCGATAGTTGCAACTGAGCTGCATTGACCAGAGATGTGGCAGGTTTGGCGGCCTTACTGCGCTTACTGGGACGCTGCAGACGAGGGTCAACCACATTGACGCTGATGATCAGATTGGAAAGGAGCTCGCTGGGCGAGCTCAGCTGCAGTGCAGCCTCACAGAAATCGGCCGGCTCTAGCGCTTGGCCTGGCGTGTCGCCAAGCCGCAAATCATCCCGGGGGCTATCTTCGCGGCCTTGACGATAGGCACGCAGACTGGCGGCCAGCACGCGTTGGGCGCGCGGTCCGGTCAGTCGGAAGCGATTAAATTCGTGCTTGATGTGCGCCATTCGCAAGCCTGTGTCCGCATTGGCGTAGCTTCTGTTGCGCTCAAACGCCTTGGTGTATGTCCAGAAACGCAGCGGCTGCTTGTTCGATCCTTCTGCTTGATGCTCCACCGATTCAACTGGCAGTGGCACTTTGTTCAACTTATCTGACGGCACCAGGGCGTCTGAGTCATATGGTAGCGGCAACCTTTCCTGCTTAGTCGACTTGAGCTGAAAAACTTTGATTAGTTGGGCAATGGTTGCCTCAGCGCCAGCAGGATGCAGCCAGAGCCATAAGGTGCGGCGTGGTTGATTCTCCGTCTGTTTCTCAGGTCGCCACATAAAGAGGACGCGTTGCAGGGCACCCGACGGATACTTCGAATCGGCGAAGAGCTGTATGCTGCCCTCGCGTCGCCCGCTAATATATGTCTTGGCCGCAATGCCAAGGCCGCACTCTGGACTTGTTAGGCGCCCAAAACCCATACGCAGCCGATCGAGGCTCCCTTCCAACTGCACGCAGCTGTAAAATGAAATATCCTGAACCAGGCAGTGCTCGGAGCTGGCGCGATAGCATGCCCGGTAGGTCTTGTCGCAACTGGCATAGGCCAAACGATATCCCCAGCGATCGATCATATGGAAGCGCTTTGCATGCCAAATATGAGTCTCCAGCCAAATGTGATTGCGCTGGCGGCGCAAATACTCACGCAGTAGGTTCTTTGCCCGCCGTCGATACTTGCGCGACGGGCGCTTCGGTGCCACCGGCTGATTGCCTGCCTTGGCCATTTGGCATTTGTGGGCGGAGCGGTATTTGCGCGGCAAGCGATTGGGATGATGGGACATGGCGCGACGGCGCATGTGCTTGGGCAATGATTGAAAGATTAGCTTACTGCTGACCGGCTTCTGGGATGCTTCCGCAATCATAGTCTTGATTTCATTTAGTGCTCCAGATGCATAGTGATAGGTCGGCAGATTGCTGGGCAGCGCAACGCCTCCGCCCAGGCTTGCATCGTATTCCAGCTTGTGTGAGCTCATGATTTTGATTTTTAGAAAATTCTATCCTCGAATTTTCTTAATCCCACCTGAATACACAAAATCAAACAAAAACTGTTTGGAACACCGGCACGTGCATCGGTCCAAGTCGTCGGATAAATCCACGGTTACTTTTCTAGCAGTTATCAAATTTCAGAAAGTATCGTTTTTCGATAGTGTCTCCAATTGAGTGTTTGCTAAGTGATGAAAGCAGTGTTGCCTATTTTAGCTGTTTTCTAGCTAACTAGTTTTTAAATGACAATTTCGTTAAACTGATTTCTCAATGACAAATTCTCGCGACTTCGTTGTAATTTTTGCTAAAGCTAATTTTGTTTTTGGCATTTTTTAACATTGAAACAACTAGAAGTAAAACCTATAAATATATATTTATTGCTCGTGTCGCGGTCTTAGCTTTTGTTCATTTAACTGTGGTGGCAATTAATAATCATAAATTTGAACTTAAGAGTCTTAGCTACATTTTTTCACAATTAATTTATTTTATAACAAATGTTCCATATTGCTTAGCCAATTTGTATGGTTGACAACATTGGAGTCCACTGTGCTTGCAAACTTATCGATAGTTGTGCAGCAGTCCAATTTTTGCATATATCGATATCGATAGAAGATCAAAATTCCAAGTTCCTGTTTTGCAGTGAGCCAGCGCCTATTTTAGTGTTTAAAGCGGCTAATAATGCAAAAATGGTGGCCAGTGCAGTGGTCGGAGCTTCTGCTGCTTCTCCTCCTGGTCGCTGTTTCTGAGGCTCTCAACGGCCGAGCACTGCATAACGGCACTATAGCAAAGAGCAGCCACCTGAACAACAACAGCAACTGCCAAAGGCCGCTCTTTTGGCGCCTACCCGCCAAGCAGACATGTCCAGACTCTATAGTACCGTTGCGCGGCACCGTTTACCTTCTGTACGACGTGAACATCTCCGAGGGCTTCAATCTGCGTCGCGATGTCTACATTCGCATGGCGGTCTTTGTGCGCCGCCTGCGACGGCGCAAACGTTTTCGCAATGTGCGTCTGGTGCTGCCGCCTTGGCCCCGACTCTACCACTGGCACTCGCACGGCCTGGGCCAGACCGATCTGATGTGGCGCAACTTCTTTGACTTGGACAGCCTGCGACGCTATGCGCCCGTGCTCGACTATGACGAGTTTGTCGCCGAGTATCGAAGATTTGGCATGCCGGCGCCGCCCTACGTTCACGTTTCGCAGGCCTTCCGGCTGACGCACTACGAGATTATGCAGGAGCAAGGCGTCTTCCGCGACAAGTACGAGCGCATATCTGCCAATGCCAATGATGATGCCAATGGGCAACGCATCGAAGCTTGCAATGAGAACTCCATCAGTGGCGGCCCGCTCCTGCAGCAGCGATTGCTACGCTACGGCCGCTATCACTGCGTACGCTTCCAGGGCAGCGCTGGCCTACTGGAGCGCATGCTGCGCGAGGCCATTGATGAGGATACGGCGGGCGTCGAGGATGTGGACGACATGCGCGTCTATGCGGTGCTCAGCGCCGAAACGGTCCTGCACGACAATTGGGGCGACGAGCACTTTTGGCTGGCGCGTCGCTCGATGCGCTTCGCTCCGTTCCTGAATCGGGTGGCCGCTGACTTTCGGCTTGTGTCGCTTAGCACCACGGACACCACGGCCGGCGTGCAGCGGCCAGCCATGTGGGAGCTGGAGCGACCCAAGCGAGATGCACGCGGCGGCGACTATTTGTGCGCGCATCTGCGACGCGGCGACTTTGTGAGGTCTCGGGAATCGACCACGCCCACGCTCAAGTCGGCGGCACAGCAAATAAAGCAGCTGCTACGCGCATTCAATTTGACCACCGTGTTCGTAGCCAGCGATGCCACGCCATACGAGCTGCTCGAGCTGAAGGAGCTTTTCTATAGGTTTCGGTTTGTGCACTTTACGCCGGAATCGAATGCACAGCGACAGCAGCTGAAGGATGGGGGCGTGGCCATTGTCGATCAGCTAATCTGCGCCTATGGCCGGCATTTTGTTGGCACCTACGAGAGCACGTTCACCTATCGCATCTACGAGGAGCGCGAGATTCTCGGCTTCAGCAAGTCGAGCACATTCAATACATTCTGTAAGGCATTGGGCGGCAATTGTGCGCGCAATGCCGTCTGGCCGATTGTCTGGAGTGATGATGATGATGATGATAAATTTTACTAACATTTATTTTTGACAGTCATCAATTTGTGGCCACTGAATTTCTCTAATATATATCACCATGTAGTTAAGTGTATTTTATGTAGGTTTATTTTTAAATATTGTGAATCTGAACAAACTGCGATGCCATACCAAAAACCAAAAATTAAACACTTTTTAAACAGAAATTTCTACACACTTACACAACTGAACGATATTGGTATGCAAAGTTATTTTAATCGTCTAAGCTTAAGTTTTTGAAAAATAAAATTATCTTTTATTACCTATTCAAATAAACGATATAATAAAATATCGGCAACGGTACTATGGCAAAATAACAATATATCGATAGGTGCAAGGTCGAAACGTCCTATCCCAATAAGCACTCTCATTTGAAGTATTTTATTTGGTATTTCACGATGTGAATATCGAAATAAAAAATATATCGATAAGTATAAAGTCAACATGTCATATGGCAGTAAATACTCTCAGTTGAGTTTGCAATTGTCGCACGTGTTTTGTTAAAAATTCGAATTTATTCAAAATCAACTTTGTTCCGCCAAAATGGGCAAAAAGAACAAAGATGGCACCAATCTGGGACGCCAGCTAATCAAAGATCGTTTTGGGCACACACCACGTCGCAAGGTGGACAACGACACAATGGTGCGTAGTATACTTTCCCCAGCTCGCGCACATAATTGCATACGCACTTATCATATTCGCAGCTGCACACAACGGAGCTGCAGGATGGCTATGACTGGGGCCGCTTAAACCTCTCCTCTGTAACTGAGGAGTCGTCTTTTAATGCATTCTTGCGCACAGCTGAACTGGCAGGCACTGAATTTCAGGCCGAGAAGCTCAACATAACATTTGTTAATCCGAAACAGCGTGTCGGCTTGTTAAGCAAGACACAGGAGCAGACAATGCACCAGAAGCACGCCGAGCATCGGGATCAGCTAAAGATTCCGCGTCGCCCCAAATGGAACAAGGAAACTAGCGCCGAAGATTTGGAACGTGCCGAAAACGAGGCGTTTCTTAATTGGCGTCGCGATTTGGCACTCCTGCAGGAGAACGAGGAAATCCTTATGACGCCCTACGAGAAGAATCTCGAGTTCTGGCGCCAGTTGTGGCGTGTCGTCGAGCGCTCCGATGTCGTTGTCCAGATTGTCGATGCACGTAATCCGTTGCTCTTTCGCAGCGTCGATCTAGAGCGTTATGTCAAGGAGGTTGACAGCAACAAACTCAACATGATTTTGGTCAACAAATCGGATTTGCTTACGCTGGAGCAGCGTCAGCACTGGGCACAATATTTTGACTGTGAGGGCATACGTACAGCGTTTTACTCTGCCACTCTGGTCGAGGAAGAGCTTAAGCGTGAAGCTGAGGCCGCCAGGCAGGCAGCTGAATCGCCGACCTCGGCGCTGGAACTCAAGCAGCTGCGCGAGGCAGCCGAGGAGATCCAACAGTCGCTGAATGCTGTTGAGCAAACGCTGGACGTAATCGAGAGCAAGATGAAGTCAAAGCCGTCGGACGCAACGGATGTTAAGCTGCCCAGGCTGCCCAGTGACAAAAACAGCGCGCATCTGTTGTCCAGAACGGAGTTGATTGACTTCCTGCGCCATATCTATACGGGGCCCAGACACACCGCGCAGCATGTGACCATCGGCATGGTGGGCTATCCGAATGTGGGCAAGAGCAGCACGATTAACTCTTTAATGACTGTGAAGAAAGTTTCGGTGTCGGCCACGCCCGGCAAGACAAAGCGCTTTCAGACGCTCTTCCTGGAAAATGACATTCTGCTTTGTGATTGTCCGGGTCTGGTTATGCCCAGCTTTGTGCTTACCAAGGCAGACATGTTGCTTAATGGTATACTGCCAATTGATCAAATGCGCGATCATGTGCCCGCCGTGAATTTGCTCTGCGAGCGCATACCACGCCACATTCTCGAGGATAAGTATGGCATTGTGATAGCTAAGCCCCTGGAGGGTGAGGATCCGGATCGTCCGCCTTTCTCTGAAGAGCTGCTGCTGGCCTATGGCTGTAAGTAGAGCGGTCTTTTTAATTCTAACACCGTTTTACTAATGCACTTTACCAATCTAACCCGTAGACAATCGCGGCTTCATGACCTCGAATGGCCAGCCGGATCAGGCTCGCTCTGCTCGCTATGTGCTCAAGGACTACGTCAATGGCAAACTACTTTTTGCTCTGGGCCCACCATCTGTCATTCAGTCCGAGTATCACACATTTCCGGAGCGCCAACGCAAGCCGGTGGAGGAGTCCCAGCTGCCTGGACAACAGCAACGTGCCATGCGCGTAAGTTGCCCACTCGCCAAATGCTTCCGTACACACCACTGATGCCTATGCTATTGTCCACAGATCAATAAGAGCACGTCCAAGGAGCTGGATCAGCAGTTTTTCAACGCCCAACCGAGCGTTGCGCACGTCAAGGGCCGCACCAACTTTCCACATGTGCGTCTGGCAAACGATGGCAACCTGGTAACTGGCGAAGCTCCAGCCAAGCCCTGGCGCAATGTAAAAAAAGAGCGACGCGAGAAGCTGCGCAAAAAGTTCTCCCACCTGGATGAGCATTAATTGTCCAACGTGCAGGTGTCAAACACAGTGCTGCAGTCGGCGGTTGAGACTCTGAGCTCATTGTATGCATGTATTTAAGAGCTTGTTGAAAGCAAACTGTTTTAAATTAAAGTTAGCATAAGCATTCTAATACGTGACTCTTAAGATCAATGCCAGCTCTTTGGGACTTCAGGCAAATGTACCTACATACCCCGTATATATTAATATATATATACACTTGTATATTGGGTTCAGGTAGACAAACAAATCTGAACCATAGTCCTATTAGCATGCTGAGTCCTTTATGTATTTTCCGTTATTTGTGGAGAATAAGTGCCAAATTTGAGTTTAAAAAATGATAAGAATAATTCATGTCGTCTAATTGCGTGCAATCGGTATTGTGCTTATATTTGCCAAAGATAGTTCCTAATCCCACAGAATTTTTCTGCTTGCTTTTTCTCAGCTGTATGTAAAGCACGTTCATATCTCTATTTCGTGCAACCGGCTAGCAAATCTTGCCTCTCTTTCTGGGCCACACATTTAGAATCATATTATAATGCACTCTGCAAACTAGTTTTTATACCATGTAATCCTTGAAAATGGGTGTAATCAATCCCTCTTGATGAACCCTCAAGGCTTAAACAGGTTGTATGAACTATGGATCAACTTGTAGAGTAGGGTTTTATATTTTGCTGTCGTAGCTCTTTTAGCTTTAAAGCTAAATCCACTTTTTTTTCTAGCTGCCATTGGAATACTTGATAAGAAACTTAGTTCTTATATAAAAATATATTTTTGGGTTCTCAAGATATCTGGTGCCAAGATTCTGCATGCTGTTTACATATGCGCAAAATCTTATCAACAACGGATTATTATATTATATAGCTCTACATAAAGAAAGCTATCGAGATATAAGTGTCAGTATGGCTTTCTAGATATTTTAGCCAAGCCCGCCAATTACGAGCTCCTCGATTCATATCAGATATTTGCGAACCCTAATCAAATCTTCAATTCTATATGATATATGGCTACTACAGGAACAGTCGATTGAAACTGAAGCTATTTTTGTATGCGCTCACTTTTAAGCCATGTCTACTAGGGTATTTAATCTTTGCGGTGCGCCAGATAGCCGTTGCTTCTTGTTTTTTAATGTATTCTGCTCATTCGCGAAATGTGTGGCTCGGGTAAACACGAAGTTGTTATTGGCCCAAGCAGCTTGCCAGAGACGGAAGAGGGTATGGCACTCAGTGCTCTTGCTTTCTGCTGCACTTTGATCGGGCAGCAGCAGCGATAGCTGAGCGACCTCCTCGATGTTGATAACCGAAAACTATGTATATGTACGCTTAGTGGCATACAGTGGCGTCCAAAAATACGCGTACAATTACTTTTGTAGTGTTTGTTAAATATTTCTTAGTATAATAATACTCGTTATATTTAGAGAAGACCGTAATTTTGGCACTGTGATCAGAAAGAGTAGATCTTCCCGGCTTTAAATTCTTTCATCGGAAAGTTTGCTAAGAAAATTGAACTTGAACGGATTAATTAAATGCTTAAATTTGAACAGATCAATTACCAAAAGGCATCACTGTCGAAGATCGGCGAACCTTTGAATTGAGTTTCCCATGCGTAAGAAACTGGAAATGCCTGTATATGCACAAGTTGGTTAGAAGGATCACTTAATAAATTAGGTGTGTCGATAACTTAGTGTGAAGGATCGGTTAATAAATGAGTAAGACATTCGAATTAAGGTGTAACATGATATCGGAAATGCTGCAATTTGTATATTCCATAGGGAAATAAAATACATTTCTGCCCTGTCCGAATCTTTTTGTCCGCCACTGTATGGGTGTTCATATGTATTTACCGAAGCCTGTTGTCTCTTGTCTCTTGTGGAGGGGCAATTAAATAAAGTGGAACGACGCGGTCCGACCAGTCTGTCTTCCAACGTTGCAATGGGCGAAGCTGGTGCTGGAGGAGCTGCTGTTGCGGACAATTTCAATACGTTTAAGGAGCTCCTAATTGAGCGACGCGGCCGGCTGCTAATTATACAATTCAATCGACCAGCTGTACAGAATGCGCTGCGCCGTCGCACCATATACGAGCTACTGCGTGCCCTGGACGTGGCCAATGCGGATTCGCACATCAGTATCGTTGTGCTGACGGGAAATGCGAATGCCTTCACATCGGGCAATGACTTGACCGATCTGCTGGCCTTGCAGCGCAAGAGCGGAGATGAGGCGCTGGATGTACACTTTCGGGCCTCGAACTTTGTGATGAAATCGTTGGTGAAGAAGATGCTGATGAATCGCAAGGTGCTGATCGCTCTGGTCCAGGGCAATTGCATTGGCCTGGGCGTGGTCATTTGCGCACTGTGCGACATTATCTATGCCACGGAATCCGCCCAGTTTTGGCTGCCCTTCTCACAGCTGGGCCTGTGCGCCGAAGGCGGCACCAGCTGGACCCTGCCAGCGTTGTTGGGCCGCAGTAAGGCCGCCGAACTGCTGCTCTTTGGTGAGCGCCTAGACGGCCAGACGGCGCTGCGTCATGGCATGATCGCCAGCCTGGTGCACAATCAGCAGGAATTCTGGACGCGCCTCGACAAGCATTCGCGGCTGCCCTCCGTCTCCTTAATGAGCACCAAGCGGCTGCTGCTGCAGCCCTGGCGCCAACAACTGCTTGATGCTCTGGACGCAGAGTCCGACCAGCTGGAAGCATTGCGTCGCGGCCCGACTTATCGCGCCCAGATAATGGCCTTTGCCAGACGGAGCAAGTTGTAAAATCCTTAGATATATCATTTGTTAGTTTTTTGTTTTTTTTTTTTTTTGTTTTAATAAAGTTATTCCTCTAATGTATTGTACTTTCGGTGTTGTTTTTGTATGCTTAACGTTTTGAGGAAGATCTTATAGGTGGAAAATATTTAAGAGAGATAGAGGGAGGGAGAAAAATAGAGAGAGAGAGAGAGAGAGAGAGAGAGAGAGAGAGGGGGGGGGGGGGGCGAAACTGAATTAAAATGGATTGAGAAAGCGAGCTGCCATTTATTTGAGCAGCATGCACTCAAAAACTAGCCGAATTTCAAGGTAATTCGGTAAGGAACCGGGAGGTGTGTCTAATCGAATGCTCTGGTATAACTATCCAAGAAGCTAGCTCTCGTAACCACAGAATATACTAAATTTGAACGTATTATTCTTCATATATAGCTTCATATATGGCCAAACGATACCCTCGGCAACTGATAAGAAGTCCATAATACATACTCCAAGCTCTCCGGTCCCCGAGCCTGGTGTGTAAATAAAAAATCAGGTGCACAGTACTCAAGTGCTACAACATGATAGGGTCGATCAACCCAGACAGAACAGGGTGTTTAAGATAGGCGAACAAAGCTGGTATAAACAAATAAACAGTCTTGGCACTCAGCTTTATAAACTAAGCAGCAAATTAATATAATTAATAATATTCTTGTTTATGATTAACAGCTCAAAAGCTGGAATAAAAAGGAATGATTAAAGTTAATCTAAAAACTTAAGTGAAGCGAATTGATAGAGCATTTATTTACAAGAAGAAATCAACTATTTACTTTACCATTAAAGATTTTATATGACAAATAAATAAAAAAAATTTAATAGCGAAGTACTTGTCGTCTTTTAAAATTAATCTATTTACCAAAAAGAAAAATCTGATGAACACAAAATGAAGGAAACACCTAGTTTACATTCACATCGACTCGACGGAAAAAATCCAGCTCGGAAATAGGCTAATTTTCAAAATTGCATCAGATATCATCATGATGCAAAATCGATTTCGAGAGACTTTCAGGTATGCATGGGTGTGCATGTATAGCACACACAAACATACATACATACATACATACATACATGCATACATGCATACATACATACATACATACATACATACAAACATGCATACATGCATACATACATACATACATACATACATACATACATACATATTTACATACATACATACATACATACATACATACATACATACATACATACATACATACATACATACATACATACATACATACATACATACATACCTACATACATACATACATACAAACATTACCAAATATACAAACACATACCTTAATATGAACAAAATACTTTTTCACAAAACAAAAAATACTTAAAGTCAAAGCAGGGAAACCTGCCAGGCTTACTTGAATTCATGAGAATCGAGGAGTAGGGCACCACCTTAAAGTAAGTTGTATTTAAATTTACTGCGTTTCTTGAATTTAACTATGTCGACACTCGCTACATTCATGCATATATACACACATAAACATACGAACAAACAAACATACATACACATATACATGCATTCATTCATTCATACATTCATACATCCATTCATAGATACGTTCGTACATACATTACTATACTTTTATATAGATGGCACGTTTTATTCCAACAATTTTAGACATACCTTACTTAAGTTAAATTTTGCAGACTTTGCAAACTTTGAAACCAACTGTTTACTGCCATGTTAGTCTGGTGGAGAGAATTTTGGGACCGCTGGATTTGCGCAAATTTATTTGAAAATAAGTAGATTTCATACTTATTTTCGGATCGGATGGTAAGCAAGAAGATAGAATATTTTGAAAATAAGTTTGAAGCCGCCAATCGGCCAAACCTCAGAACTTGATGAAGCCGATCGGATGCTAATCAAGAGGATCCAAGCTGTCCTCAAAAGAAAACAGCCTAGGCCACAAGCCAATAACGTTAGAGGAGTGTCGGGCTAGGCTCCCTGAAATCCAGTCAGCCAGAAAATATAACCGAATAAAGGAGAGAACTATTAAAGTAATCTGTAGAGAAATATGGTCTTCTCAGATATGCAAAAAATATGTCAACCAATTCTACTAAGAATCAGACACGTTAACATTCCAACCACTGACGAGGTGGCATTTCTATGAGCTAAGTATTTTTCACTCTTAATCAAACAATAAGAAAAGCCTAAAAAAAATGATTCCTCCACCTCCACCAGAAGATCCAAATTATAAATTCCTTCATACCATTAACCTGTTTTGGCTGGACCCTCGGGTCGCTTCCTCCTCTTAACTTAACCCTCCTCCAGTGGCTGAACGGAGATAAACTCCAAAGTTTTAAAGACTTTAAGGACAACAGCTTAACAGGTGGGCGGATGTGGATCGAGCGGGACAAAAGCGGAGCACTAGGATAATATGAGACGAGAGAGATCCTAGTCCGAAAAAGGAACAGCTTCCAGAGGACCAGTTGACCTTAGGCTGTTTGCATACATAAGCCAAATATTTCTTTTATTTAGAGAATATTGCCTGGGTGGCCTTGGATGTCCATTTTGGTCGAAACTTTATTTTATAGTTATATATCATATATTCCGGCGTACATCGGTTACAACAGTTGGTAAGAGATGGCATCAATGGACCCTCACGGTTACTGTGGCCGGTATTTATAATTGAATGGTTATCGATTAAGGATAACTGAAAGCCTTACCGTTTCCAATCGGACGCATATCCTGAAATCGGGGTAATTATCGCACAATTAAGCAAAAACCAATATTGCTCGCCAATCGAATAAAAAATCAAATTCCACCAGATCCCAATTACAGATAAATGCGTTGAGAAGCCGTATTGAATTTTGAATTTATTATTATTGTGCTTTTTTATATCCAAGGTTGCCATCCATTAATATTCAGATCCGTGCTCATTGTTTGGGCAGCCTTGCTTTAACCTTCTGAGGTAAATGAGAATTGTTGTTTTGTTAAAAAGCTGACCAAAATATTTTCGATTTCTAAGATTTGTCCCACTCGTCCTCAGTCAAAGGCTTAATTTGATCGCGATTATGCATGGACCGGACTATGACCATGCCAGAGGATTGTTCTTGCGCTCAGCTCTTTTTCATACCTGGCAGCTGGTGGACGAGAAGGGAAACAAGTACCCTCTGGAGCCATTCAGCGTGATCGGGAATACCGAAGGTAAAGCTAACCCGTTACGCCAAGGCTTGGCCCTTTGATTTCGATTGTGTTTTCCGCAGACTCGACTGTGTCGATTCCTTCCGTTCCGGTTCCGTTTCGTGTCGAGGCAGTGGCCTCTGAGGAATTCGATGGCTACACCTTTTACGAAGAGTGGAAAATCGAGAACATTGGCAACTTTGCATTGGCTGAGTCGGTTCTCGAGATTGGACAGGGCCAGCTGATTCAAATCGCTGGCCATCGCTTCTGGTTGGATTGGGCTGATGATGACAGTGATGACTAATGTGTGTTGACATCAAACACTCATTAAATGTTAGAAGTATAATTAGGAAAAGCCTAGCTGCTAGCATGGAAACATTAAAAATGACAACATTGTGGCTGCACATCCCCGAACATGTTCTATATAGAGGCTCAGCCAAAATTATTCCAATTCCCAATTCAATTTATTTGTTCGCACTTGTATACATATTTTTGCTTAGCATAATATACAAAGCTTAGTTATGTGCACTTGATGTTGTTGGCAACTAAGGGAATCCCGAAATCATCCCCAGCTCCTGGAGTGGTACGGGGTGCAAGCTGTAAAATAGGAACATGGAGATAAGACCTGGAACATAGAAGCAGAATGGAGCAGAATGGATGGACGACGGGATACCAGGTTCGCATTTGAGTGCTTTGGGTTAGATTTTATAATACAAACCATTTATACTTTGTCTAATATCGTTTTTGAATAAAATGGGTTTGCCAGCTGAAAAATTAAAGAACTAGTCATTTGGGTTATAGGAAAATTCTATATATCTCAAAATAAAAAAAAAATGATTGATTCTTAAATTAATGTTCTTGGTTTTCTGAACAGTCCAGGTTTTGAGCTCGACATTTTTTACCCAAGACTAGCTGCAACTTATTTGATCCAATCTCTTAAAATGTGAAACTATGTTAATAACAGGCACTCTTGCCCATGTCAAGGATTTATACTTAAGCTAAATTGAACAAGCGTTTTATTAAATCTAGAGAAGTTCAACTCAGGGCAAAACGGTTCTGAACCAAACCAGTTTAAGACCATAATTTCAATTATTTTCCTTGAGCCTCAGCTTGAACCGGTTCACTTAGATAGAGTTCAGCCAACCCGAAACCTTTAAAAAATTTGAGGAACAACGTTCCAACTAAAATCTCGGTTCTTAGATGTGCAAAATCCGGATGACGAAATGAAGCTCAAGACGAGGCATGGGCTTGAACCGTCAACCGAACCATCAGTTATGGGTTTGAACCGTCAACCAAATCAAAGCTACGAGTTTAAGCCGTCAACGGAACCACCAGCCATGGGTTTGAGCCGTCAACCGAACCAGCAGCAATGAGTTTGAACCGTCAACCTTGTTAAAATATACATTCATTATAAATGCATATCTAAATAAATATCTATGTATATAAATATATGGAAATATATAGTAGAAAATCATGTCGCTTTTGTTTGAAAGAAAGGAGTTTGTATTTTATATAAGTTCTCAGAATTTGAGCTGTGTTATTGCAGTTCATGCTATAACCTTTTTGGGGTTTTCTTGTTTTAGTTGTTTTTTTTTTTTTCTTTTAGAATTATCAATATTAAATGTATTTTTAGAGTGAATTGTAAACGATTTGCTCTTTGTGTAGTTTTATGTATTCATCGCCATTATTATAAAGCAAATATATATTATATAGCAACCGATACATCTGGTATGTACGTATTTCTTGTATACTTATTTATCTCTTGTGTTATAAAGTATCAAAAACAATTTTGTGATTATATCGGAATTAGTTTTAGCTTTTACTTGTTCTCTTGGGTTTCTTGAGTTGTTTGTCCGCTTGCATGTGGCTTTTATATAATTTGTATTATTTTGAAAATTTCCTATGCTTGACCTCTGTCGAAAAGTATTCTGGCTTTGCTTTAAGCTGTTTGGTCAAACCCGCCAATTTTTCTTATAGACATACATACTCATGTGTTGCAATGTATGTGCATTTATCTAGTACAAATTTTCGTTTTGCTTACATTTGTTTTTTTTTTCTTTAATTAATTAATAATTAATTGAGTTTATTGTGGTTCGTTTTTTGTTTTGTTTTTTGTTTATTATTTTTGAAATGACTGTTAATAATGTTGTTCTTTTTTACTGAGAATTGTTGTTGTTTTTGAATTATTATTAGGCGCTTGCAAGTATTTATTTAGCTACAATTATTATTGCCAGGTTCGTTAAGAAAATAACTTTGTTGGATATTAATGCATTTGGTAATTGTTGTTGCCGTTATTTTGTTTTAATAAATATATATATGTGTATATATATTTAATGTACTTATCAATTGTTGTTTGAGTTGTTTTTTAGTTAATTATTATTCTGCTTGAATATTTTAACACATTTTTTGTTTGGTTTGTGTAAAGTAAAATTTGTTGTCTAGATTATTCACTAGCGGTCTTTTGTTTTGTTTTGTTTTTTTTTTTTTTTATAATTATAATCTTTTCAAATATTGTTGCTTGCCGCACATTAGTTAATACTTTTAGTTTCTGTTTGCTTTGTTTCGTAATTTGCTACAGTTGGCATTTAATGAACTGTTCAATTTGTTGATTTTATTTGTAAATTGTAATTAATAATTTACTAGCTACGGATTAATAATAACAACAGACAAAAAATAACATTTAACTACAATGCACCTGCGCTAATTTTGCGTTCATTTGTTTGTTTTTTCTTTAAACATATCTCTCTTGTTGTTCTTCTCGTATTGCTTTTATTCATTTAATAGTTGAACTTTTCACCGACACTTTTTATTGCTTTCCATTGGCATCATGCATTAACATATGTATTTCGTATAAATGTATCTGCATTCCCTGTACCCAAAGGCTGACTGTGCCAGCGAAATAACTGGAGAAGCTTAGATCGAAAGGTCAGTTGATTGCGAGTAGTACGTAAACCATGTAGGAGTTCGAGTAGTCAAAAGTATTGCATATGCGTATGTAGGTAGTCCAAGTGGGCTTGGGATAGTGGTGGAGAGGGGGGGGGGGGGGGGGGGTACAGGGTATCTTAAACTGGGACATGGTCGAGTGCAGTAATTAATTATGTTTGCTGAATGTCGTTTTTCATTTTTGTTTTCAATGCATACCCTGTAATTGTCGTATAGGGTATATGGTTGTGTGTGCTGGGTGCATTAGACGTGTCAGGCTCCATAGATATCTAAGTTCTATTGATCAGCTTACTTATATAAAGCTTATACTTAGGTCGAGTCCATAAAGCTACTTATTTCCATCCGTCCGTCCGACAGTCTAGTTGCATTCCTTTAAGTTTTATATCGTTACTAAGCATTTATTAATAAAATGTTGAGTGTTTTGTTTTTGTTATAATTAAGTTTATAATAATATATTTGTATGCACTACGGTCTATGAATATTTTCGCATTTAATTGTTTAAAGTTGTTTTCAATCAGGCAATGCTACGCGCTTTAGAAGCTGCTGAGTTGTTGATGTATTTAAAATTGGGTACAGGGTATTGAATAGTCGCGAACACTCGACTATGCCCTTCTTGTCTGTTGGCCGTTACTGAGGACGGATTAACTACCAAAAAATGCAAATGTTATTCTTAAGGTAATAAAAAAGTACGTTATCTGTGTTGAACTAATTTTATAATTACATAAGGTTCATTTCATTTTCTTTGGCCAGCGGCCTGATGTTTGTTTTGTTATTTACTTTTACGATTTGTTGCATATAAGTATATTAGGCACGATTTCTCAAGCACCAGTTAGCATTAAGGATAGAGAGAATCAGGCAGCTCAACCGTAATTCAACTGAAGATTGAGGAAACCGGCCTGACTTTATGTTTTGCTTCTATCTATTAATGATTTCTTGTCTCTTAGCAAATGCCAGTGTGTGTGTGTGTGTGTGTGTAATTGTTCAAGTATTTGTTGTGTTTATCTATTACTTTTGTAATTAATTTTAAGTATCCTTTTACTTGTGTATTAAGGCAAACGCAAACGCATTTTAATTGTGAATACATAGTGTCAACTGTTAGCCACTTTTTATGTTCTACATACTTCTTAATATTTCATTGTGTTTAGAATATGCTCCACGTATTTCGGATTTCGGATTTCGTATTTCGTATTTCGGATTTCGTATTTCAGTTTCGTATTCAAATTTCGTAGCTGGCCTGAAAATGTCAGAGCTCAGTTAGGCAAACGCTTTACTTAGCATGTGCTGCATCCATATGCATGTCATATATGCATCACATATTATATGCTTATGTACATCATATGTATGTATATATATAATAATAATTCATTAATGAACCTTTTGTTTTGCTTCTTGCTAACTCGTTCAGTGTATTTGCTTGTTTTACTTTTGTCTTTGCTTTGATTAAACTAGAATGTTTTACAAACTATTATATTATTTAAGTTATGACTTTAATTATTAGTTTTAATTTTAAATATATGTATATATTTACTTTACGTGAAATCACAGTCCGTATGTGAAAAGACTTTATGTACTTGAATGATAAAATATATATATAGATATATATATATATGTATATACGCATGGATTTGTATATGTATTTGTAAATATGTATTATGTATACGCTGTATATACGCATATACCGCTAATTAATTCGTATATAAGTATGCACCCTATATACTCGTTATATATATATATATATATATATATTAACTATATTTTATGCATAAGTATCTCAAGGCTGTGACTGAAAAAATGGTGTTAACAAAATGCATATTGAGCGATGTGTGTGTGTGTGTGTGTGTGTGTGTGTGTGTGTGTATCTGCACTCAATGGATAACAATTTATTTTTAATTTGCTTTTAATATTATTTTATTTAAAATATAAACTTTGTTCTTTGTTTTGCTTAATAAAAGGCATTTGTTAAATCTTGTTCTTTGAAAAAAACTTCTTGGTTTTAGATTCAAATTGATTTTCGTTTTCTTTTTTTCTTTTTTTAACTACATAATGAGTATGTCTATAAGATTTGATTCAAATTGATTTTTTTTTTTCATATTCTTAGCTAAAATGTATTTATTTTATTTGATGCATTTTATTGCTGTTGCCTGCCAACATTCGTTAGTTTAATTATTCATTAGCTAATTTAGTTAAAAAAAAGCTTCTTTTTTTTTTTTTGTGAATTCAATTATTTGTTTTTGGCTTTTTTTTCTTTTTAGTTGATATGAGCATTCACATAAGGTTTGTGATCTTAACAATTTGTGTGTGTGTGTGTGTGTGTGTGAATAAAGCAAATGTTTAGCAAAAGCGCATTCGAGACAAAGTTAACCAAAGGGAAAAAGTGTTGAGAGCTGTGATCATTTACAGTTAGGATCTAATATTGTCATCAAAAATGGGGCACGAGCAAGTAAGCGATAGATAGTAACAAATTCCTTATAGATATATGGAGACAACTCGTTAAGAACTGTTGGTTTTCAAGTTGGGAGCAGCATTTGGATGAAAATTAATGAAATATTATTTTTGAATTGTTTCTTTTCTGTTTGTTTTGTTTTTGTTTTGTTTTTGTTTGTTTTTGGTTTAGTGTCTGGTATAACATTAGGCATTTGAAATATATATATTTTAAGTATACATAGTAGTAAATATATGCATATAAGTACTTGTGTTTCACTTTTAATTTTTATTTATTTTTTTTTCTGCTTGGTTGTGTTTGGTTTAAAAAACAAAAAAAACTTCTTACTTGCTGATGTTTTTTTTTTTTTTTTTTAATTTTTTTTATATTTGTTTTTTATTCTTGAAGGTTTGGTTTCTGTTGTTGATTCTACGTGTGTAATTAGTAAAAATTCATAAGCGCCATTTGTCAGCTGATTTGAAATCAATTTGCAGCGTTCCTTGTATACTACTTATCTAGAACGCCATGCTAGTGCGCCTGCCGCCCATGCAGCTGGGCCCGCCGCCGACGCCGCCGCCGCTTGGTCCGCCGCCGCGCATCGCACTGTGCGAAACGCTGCGACCCATGCGCGCCCCGCTGCCGCGCCGTTCGCGTGCCCGTCGCAACAAATCCGAGGTGCTCGGCCGGCGACTGCTGTTGGCGCTCGGCGAGCCGCGACGTCGGCAGCCAACAATATCGGAGGTCGAGGAGCGGCGTATGTTGCCCGAACTGCTGTCGTCGGCGACTGCCGTGGAGGACGCTGCTCCGCCGCCGCCGCCGCCAGCTATCATGTATGGCGACAGATAGTAGGGCGACAAGGTGCTCGAAAGTGCCGGCGAGCCGCTGTGCAGCAGCTGGGTGCTGGAGTTGCGTCGCGGCGTAAACGGTGACTGCGAATAATCGAGCAATAATTTCATCGACTCCTGCGCCTGCTCCTCATCCGCATCGACGCCCTCGATGCGCAGATGCGGCGGTATGCGCCTGTTCGCAGCGCCACCTGGCGCAGCCAGACCCACGCCCAACGAGGATGAGCGCGACTGCGACTGCGAGCCGGACTCGGATTTGTGGCCAGCGCTCGCCGGTGCGCCCGCACGCAGTCCACTGTACAGCGTCTTGATGTGAAAGTCGAAGGATTTGAAATTGAGCAAAGAGCGTCGCTTCAGACCCTTTGCCTGCGCCTGGCCAGCAGCCGATTCCCGCTCCTCGTGGCTGCCAATGTCATTGTTGTTAAGCGTATCAAATGGATCAGCTGAGGACCCACTTGGTGGCTCAGTTGCTGCTCCTGCTGCTGCTCCTGCTGCTGTTGCTCCTGCTTCTGCTGTTGCTGCTGCTTCTGCTGCTGCTGCTGCTGGTATGGCTAGCTGCTGATAATGTTGCAGTTTGTGTTGCTGCTGTTGCTGCTGCAGCTCATGCTTGCTTATTGTTGTTGTCATAGTATTGCTACTTAGGCTAGTTTTACTGCTAATCACTTTCAAAAATTTATTATCATTATCTAAGGACTCCTTTCGTCACTGAATAACACAGAAACCCTGCTTTGCAGCCTCCTTGGCATCCGCCTCCTCAATGAAAGCCTCCTCCTCCTGCTTTGGCGAATCGGCACCGCAGGGCCCACCGCCGCTCAGGCTGAGTGGGCCCTGCGGGCAGGCTGATTGTCACCGAAGCGCCAGTGTGGATATCATTGGCGGTCTCACCGGTTTATTCTCCAATATCCGCTCCAATTCCAGCATTACGCTGGACGACAGCCGCGGCAATAGCTGTGGCAACAACAATTTCATGATCAGCCCAATTGGAGGATATGTAATTTGGCTGCAAAGCAACTCACCTGCAACGATTGCAAGCTCTGATGCAGCTGCTCCGCCGAGGTGGCGCCCAGCAGAAGGCACTGAACGGGCTCGTGCTTCAGTGACCAGGCAATCGACAGCTGTGTCGGACTGCAGCCAAGCTTCTCGGCCAGCGCGGCCAAGTCACGCAGCCGATCGCAATGGCGTCGCCCCTCCTCAATCCGATCCTTGCCCCAGCTACCCTGCGGCGACAGTGCGGCCTACAGGGGATCTCTTGTTGCTGAATATGTAATAATATGCGTTATAAGCGAACTCACATTGCGATTGATCTCATCCTCGGTCCACGAAAAGCTCTTGGTCTTGAATGAGCCCTTGGGCAAAAACAGTTTGTCCCCATTCTGCGTATCACTCAATGCCATGGACAGTGGTCCCCAAGCCATCAGACCCACGCCTATTTTGTTATACATCTCGGGCAGGTAGAGCTCACACTTTTCGCGACAGAACATATGGTATTCCGACTGCTCAACAATCGGTGTTATGCAGTTAAACTGCCGGCAGTTGGTATACGCCTCCATTATCTCGACCTGAGACCATCTGGCGGTACCCCAATACATGGCCCAGCCTTGCTGGATGACATAGCTCATGGCTCGCACCACTTCTGCAAGCAATGTTCAGTAAGAGATATACGCATAAATATGGGCACAGCTATAAATGAAGTTCGAATAGTATCACAAAAGGTTTGGGTATTAGCTATAAATATAGGCATAAGTACCGATGCCTATAATAAATATGAATTTGTGTAAGGAAATTGTTTGATATTAATATAGTAATAGGAACAAGGGTAAATAGTTGATACATATTAGGCATATTAGGCCCATATTAGGCCTATAATAAATAGGCATAAATATAGGCATAGAAACTGGCATATGTATGTCTCTGATCTGTAAATATTTACACATAAATATGGACATGAAATAAAGGTATAAAAAAAGCAATAACTATAACTCCTGCATAATTTTTGACACTTCTTTCCAACCATTTCAGGCCCTTGGGAAATATATAAATTCCTGCTCGATTTTTGTCGATTCCAGTCAGTGGAGTGGATTTCCCGCAATCGGTGAATTATATTAAATGGTTTCACATAGGTATTTCATGGATATACAAATATGAACAAGTATAACTAGCGAGTGGTGTTGCCCGGCGTAATTAATTTTCTTCTCTTGTTTGACTTTTCTTTTCACCCATTTCAGGCCCTTGGGATATTCAAATATTCCTTTTCTACTTTTCCCAATTCCACTTAGTGGAGTGGTTTACTCGCAACCAGTGAAATTATAATGAATTGCTTTTAGATATTTTTGCACCGATTTTTCATAAGTTAAATTTAATAATTTAGAGCTTCGTAAGCGTACGAACTGATTTAAATGTAGTTAAAGTATAAGTGAAGAGTACCCACCTTCCATGGGACACATGGGATCTGCCTTGTGAATGATGACAATATCGATGTAGTTCAACTGCAGACGCTGCAAACTGGCTCGCACGCACTCGATGATGTGTTTGCGTGATAGGCCCCGCTCCTCGGATCTGTTCAATTAATAAACACATAAGTGTGACAACTTCCCAAATATAATTAGCTATAACAGTTGCACTTACTTGGTGCTCCAGTACACTTTGGTTGTGATCACATAGGTGGTTCGCTTCCAACCCGTGCGCTGCAATATTTTGCCAATTTCCGTCTCAGAGTGCGCCTCGGAGATGTCAAACAGATTGATGCCGCTGTCGATGGCCAGTTTTAGTATGGCCTCGGCCTGCTCATCACTGACGCCCGGCGAGAACACTGGCCATGTGCCCAAGCCCACGTTCGAGATACGCAGACCGCTCTTGCCCAGATTCTTGTACCGCAAGCCGGGCGTGGGCGTCGAGCCGTGCCGCAGCGGCAGCGCCGGATTGGAGCCCAGGCTTATCGAACGCCCTAAAGCGGTGACAGTGGCGGCAACAGTCCAGAGATTGATCAGTATGTCAGGGTTGGGTTGGGTTGGGTTCGGTATGCATGCGGCGGGAAACGTTTGTTTATTGTTATTGTTAGCGCATCCCACTACCGAAAATAAAAACAACCAACAAATCGTGCAACAACCAGCATAAATCAAATGAAAAACATAATACTTTAAACGTAATCTATAAAACTATTTGGGATTTGGGATCAAGACATCTTTTCCAATGTGCTACAACTACGTGTACTGAGGGTACTTTAGTTACTGTGGATCGAAGCGAAGCGAATGCTTAAAGCATTGCTCCAAACACAGCCGCATCCGATTAATTTACTTTCATAACTAGTTTGGTTTAAAATTAATCACTTTTGAAGGAGATTCAGACTCAGAGTTCACAACTTTTTTTTAGGAAAATCTATCCATGGCTTGGAATAATTTCAATTGATCGGCTAGCAAAAGTCTGGGTTCATGCGTAAGACCGGGCCAACGAACCGAAAGTCAGGCAGTTGATTTGAATTGTAAATCGAACCAACAACTTCTCTTTTATTGGTTTGCAGCACTGCTTGTAATATATTTGAGAAGCTTATGTCTTTTGGGCGTCATATAAATATTCAAACGAAGCATGCATATGTCGATATATAACGATGGAAAGTATACAGGCAGTAGGTTTTTCAATAGAGGTTAAGAACATTTTCTTTTAGCAGCTCGTACCACTTGAGTTGATTCGTGTTCAAATGAAAAACTCTATACGCGTGCACCACTAGTCAAAAAATCGGGTGTTCGAGTGCAAGTATGTACGGGTACTTATACGTCTTTGATATGTATGTATTGTACATATGCAATTATAGAAAAAATACAACAAGCCAAGCAATCGAAGAGTATCAACTAAAAGAACAAAAAAATTATAAGGTTATATAATAGTGAGAAATTCGATACCGAAATCAAGATGACCGCCCGTACCACTGAACTCCTCCATGCAGTCGAGGGACGCTATCGGGGCCCGGCACCTGCAAATGGATTATGAATTGAAATAATAATATGCTTTGGGAATTTTGTAATAAAGTTTTGCTAAATATCCATGACAATTGATTAGTTAAATAATATCGATAATCGTTTAATAATCATCTGAAACAGTTGAAAATCAATATTTGTAAGTAACATATATACGTTTTACCGGGGAATATCCTTATTACAACTATCGTTTCCATGCAAACTATCTTGCAACTATCGCTTTCGATAGTTTTTCAATGCAAGCGCTCAATGTCAACTAGGGATTAGACAAACTCGCTTTACCTGTAAATGGTCACCGGGTTCGAGTCGTCGCTCGCATTGTCCATGTTGTTGTTGTTGTCATTGTTGGTCGCCGCCTGCGCGGACGTGGCGCCCATTACGAAATTCAATGTGCCTGGCAACGTCACGCCAGACACATTCAAAGTACCGCTATTCATGCTAACCACTGTATCTGACGCTGACGCCGCAGCCGGCTCCGTTGCCGTGAAATTCGCTGTGCCTAAGATGACAGGCGGCTGCAGTACCGTTATGGCTGCACCGCTACCATTGTTGCCAACGTCGCTGTTGGCAACGCCGCTCAGGCCGCCCGACTCGTGGCCCAGCAGCAGCGGGGTGCTGGCATTGGGCATATCATGTTGTTGTTGTTGTTGCTGTTGTTGTTGCTGTTGCGTGTAGTCGAACGTTGTGTGCGTGGCCGTGGACCCAATTGCGTTTGTATTTGAATTTGAGTTTGTTGCTGTGTTTGCGTTTGTGTTTGCATTTGTATTGGTGCTGTTTGTTGCCTGGCTGCCATCGCCATTCAGACTGCATACCATGGACATCTTGAGCGGCTCTCCCGTTAACCGTTAACTGTTAACCGTTTCCTTTGCTTTCACATTAAATGGTTTCCATCATTATTCTTATTTTGTTTTTTTTTTTGGCGTCTACTTGAATTCCGTTTGGTTTTCTGTTGATTTCTTAACTGTTTATTGGATTTGTACACTAGTTTTTCTTAAACTTGACTAATAATCACAATTTGATTGTTTCACAGCAGCTTTTAGCTGTAGCTGCTACTTTAAGGCAAGTCCAGTCAAAAATTTGTTGCTTTGGATTCTAGAGTATGGATTAAACATTCGTTTTGATGCCGAAACCACACATATGGTACACACATATGTACACACACACACACACACAAAAGTAGTTGAAGTACATTTGTTCGAAATATGCCCTATGAAATATGTATGTGCCTAATTCAGTATATACAGTTTTTAAATGCATTAAATAGTACGAATTTCTCATCCTACAATTTTGAGAATGGACTCTTTTTAACATTCGTCACAAACTATCTGCATTCCACATTAATAAAGGGCTCTAGGCCCTTTTGTGCACCTCCAGGGTATTAGGCTGTCGAGTTACAATAGCGGGCATCGCTTGCAGTCTTTTTTATTATGGCTTTTCCATAGAAAACAATGGGAAACTGTAAGCGGCCACGGCCACATCCAGGACAACAGCACTCTCACAAAAGGCTGTTGAAGTAATGGGGTCAAAGTTCGTGACACCAACAAACTGTGCTGGGCCACACAGCACAATGAAAACATATGATTTGCCTATTCCAACACACAGAAATGATACTAGTTGAATGGTAGCTAACATATTTATCAAATTATCTGAGCAGCATGCTATTGTTATGGTTATTGTTGAAAATGAGGCAGTTACACACTACACATTTATATTTTTAATTGGTAAGGCAATACAACAATTAAATAGATTGACACTCGAACCGGGTTCATTCATTTTTCGTGCACAGCCTTTTCTCTGTATAAAGCTGACAAATGTTGATCAATGATGACTCGAGGTAAGGTTTTCTTTTTCGTTGTTTGAAAACAGTTGCAAACGTGACCTGAAACCAAACATTAGCCTATTGGCTGTAGAACCAGGGCCAGCCTATGCCACCTCATGTGGCTGGTCACGCAACAAGAACAAACAAAAAAAAAAAACACAGAGCCAAGGGCTAAAATGCAAATTATTGTGCTCCGTAAGCAAAAAAACATTATGACCCAGGCGCAGCATTGACTTTGGCTAAGAACCAATGCCTAATTTTTATTACCGGCCCGCCGGCCCGTGACTTCTGGCATGCTGACCTTCGGTCAGGAAAGGATATATAACCAAAGTGCCGCCAACCTGAGGCCCGGTAACTACACAATTTCTGCTCAGCAGTTCCGAATGGAAACAACAGCACACACTATGGATATTGCTTACATTATTCGCATATTTATTGATTTTATAAAAGCAGCTGCAGGAAGTGAGTGCATTAAGCTCTTCAACAGCGTATTTCGATTGCTGATTAATTTTTAATTACAATCAATAGCAACAAATATTGTGAGCACTTATTCATTACGAATAATAATTGTGCACTTAAACAAGTCTGCAACCTGGCTTAAAAACGAACTGGATCTGGTTCAGCTGAATAGCGCACAAATATTAATACTCTCATTATGTAAAACGAACTAGTTACCATCAGAAACTTGTTAAAAATGCTAACTAACTTTTGAACCATCAATTCGATTCATAGAAGTTGAAAAAACTGGTTCACTTAGCGAACCTTAAATCATTGTTCGTCTTTTGAAGCGAACCACTGAAAATTATTGTCCCCGTTTCATAGATATCATATACTCTCTGGTAGGAAATTCGCAATATTTTTAAAATCTTTTAATATATTAATTTTAAAAGAGAACGAGAACATAGTTCAACAATGCATTTTTGCATTTTTTTTTTTATTTACTTATTGAAACCGCACTGAGAGAGGCCACTTTGCTCTATAGAAAAGGTGGACGCACACAAACATCTAGCGGCTGTTAAATATTCATATATGTATATTTAAGTGAATTCAATATTTGTTTTGGGCACTGCCAGCCATTATTATGAAATGCGGCGTTGCCAGAGTTGATTTAGCATGCAGTTAAGTTGGCTGCAGCTCGCAACGAATTAAAGCTCAAGCGGTTCATAGCTACTATTTGCCAGATCTCTATTTTATGCTGTTATTCAACATTTATTTCTGAAGTTCTTTGAATTTTTGAAGAATGTGGCCAAGAACTCTCTTAAAATCACCGATACGAACATTAACGCTAGTTATATACTGTCGTCTCATCTGATAAGTATAATAAGCGCTTAGCACATGAGGTGTGCATTGTGGGTTTATATGAGTGCTGCGGGGCGGGGCAACGGCCGGGGGCGGGGGGCGTTAGGCGACTAACTAAGCTTTCGATTTAGTGCATTGTGTAATGTGGTATTAGAGACAATTATTTTTAGATTAACAGCAGTGGATGTTAAGCGCGTACAGTGGCTCCCGAATGTATGCTATACTAAATTGCCGTTGTGTTAAGTGCACACGTAGCTGTGAGATTTTGTGACAGATATGTGTGTGTGTGTGGGTGTGTGTGCATTATATAGCGAGTCCATTTATTGATTTTGTTTAGCGTTTAAATTGTCTCATTGGGGATTATCTGTTCAGCTGTGACCTTATATGCAGCTATATGCACATATATGTCTATATATATATTTATCCTTAGCCTTGCTTTGACATATTTGGCCTATAAATTGAAAGTCTAGGCCACGCTCGCGCTGGCAGTTCTGGCTGCTGTTTGTGTGCTTCTATGACAACTGAACCGCACGGCCCGCAATTACATAAACCCAACTGCTGGGCCAGGCCCTTGATCTTAATACCAGCCGCGCTCCGCACAGAGATTTTGCGGTCGGCCTAAAAGCAACAAAAATAAAAAGCAAATGGGAAAAATGAAAATAAATGCAATTTTTATGTTTATGCACTTCGTTGCAGCTGCCACGGACGCGGACGCGGAGGCGGAGGCGGAGGCGGGCACGGACGAGGACATGGACATCGTGGCTCTGGCTGCGAAACCTCCCCACCGCCCACCAGATTGTCAAGCCTTGACTTGTCTTGCGCTGATGCTGAAAATAGCCCACATCCACATCCACATCCATACACACAAGCACACACACACACACGCACACACGCGCTGCGCATTGTTACACTATATATTTTTTATTGCGGCACTTTTCAAGCCGCGTTGTTTTGAGCTACTTTCTGTTGTTCTTGTCTTTCTCACACCCCTTGTCTTGCCGTGAGTTTACACTACCAGTGTTGCAAAGTGTTTTACGAGTGCGGCACAAGCCAACGTTAGCTTGGAAATGAAATTGCGAATGGCAACTGCAGTCGAGCTTATTTTACCTCTGTTCTATACTGCAAATGTCAGTATTAATTTGTAATAGAGCTTGCAGGAAAAAGGACTTTGCGAATGTGTATATCTGAATAATTTATATATACTTATATATACATATATATATGCGCATATGTTTCAAATATTTGCACAACTGGCATTATACTGGCACATGCCTGTATGTGGTGGGCATTACATTAAGCTCAGGTGATATTTGTTTGTATTGCTTGAGCTATACTTGCCGCAGATGCACAGATGCATGTAATTGCTTACAGCTGTAAGTGTGTGTGCGTGTATGTGTGTGTGTGTGTGGAGGGGGGGCTTGTTGCTGGCGCAGCACGTAGCTGACATTATAAATAATAAAATAAATACCTAAATACGTAGAAACTTCACACTCACACACATTTATGTAAGTTTTCGTATAAATGAAAACAAATGGAGCCGCATTTCTGCTGCTAACTGGTAACTGGTCGATATGCCGCATTTGCTGTGTCCCTGTTTTAACTGCAAATTACCCTGACCAATGGCCAGACACTTGCACAGCAATGTTGCCTGTAGTAAAGTGAAATTGAAAATAATTAGGAAATTGGCATTGAAAATTATTAAAGTACTCTTATACTGCCAACGCGCCAATTATATACACATATTAATATTCTGCTATGTCCCCCTAAATTCCAGTTAATTTGTTTATTAGCAGCAAATGAATGAATAAATAATGAATAATTGTTATTGTTTTCTTATTTAAAATCCTGGTTAAGTGAGCTAGTGAGCTATAGATACTTTGTGTTTTCATTTATACTAATTGGTTTTATCTCAAGCTTATTGCAGTAAGAAACGTGCCAAACAATCGATACAAAAGTTAACTAAAGGCCGCCAAATCGCGTAAATATTTTCCAATACCTGTTCTGTCGATCGCAACACGCATGTTTACGTGTATGCATGTGTGCGTGTGTATGTGTGTGTGTGCGTGTGTGTGTGCATGTGCGAGCTAGTTCGTGTGGCATGCAACATTCGAAACATTCAAACGCTTGTCATGTTTCTATGAGCAAAAGATCAAATGACACCGCATGCAACCAAAAAGACTGCACGAAAACACGACAAATCAACTCGATATAGACTCAATTATATATGAGGCAAGCAATAAACAAATAAGCACAAAATAATCAAATATAATGTGGACATTTTTGTTCCTCTTTATTTTTATTAAATAGCTTGCCGGGCCTCTGTTGCCCTCTGCGGCATTTGGTTGTCGTTGGCTTAAAGAAGCGTCGGGCTCTTGAACAATGTGTTTGAGCCTTGACAAGTTTTGGCACTTACAAAGCGCTTACAAATTTGTTTTGCCTTTGTTGTGCATATTATTTACATGTGTCATTCATCTCAGCTGTCAGCTGGCCGAACAGAGGGTGGACAAATTGATTGACGAGGACTTTGGAATACAAATGCACAAAATACGTATATCCCAAAGTATCCACATTCGTTTATATAAGTGACATGCAGGCTTAAATGCATTTAAACACTTTCCAATTTGATGACGAGTGGATATTGAATCCTATTTTGACAGAAACCTGGCTTATTGTGCCCTTGGAAACTTGGATTAGTCGCAGATGCTTTGTTTGAATAATTGTAAATAAATAAACGAGTGCCGCAAAATGTCATAAGGATGTTGCCACGCACAACATGCCACATGCGGCACAGGCGCACTCTCCCGCACGTGTGTGTGTGTGTGTGTGTCTTACACACGTAGGCTTAATAGGCAAAAAGTCGTTACTTCTCCAAGTAAATTTCTTGATGTTTTTAAACTTTAGTCAACACAAGAAACAAGAAAAAAAAAAGAAATTTTCTATTGGAAACAAGAGATCGAGAAATCCTTTATAATTGGCTCAAACACGTTTCTAATACAACAATCATTAAGATAATCAATTGATGTTATTATTATTTGTTTTTTAAATATTCTGCAATTTAACTATAGTTGAATCGCTTTTCGTTTATTGTCGACGCGTGTGAACAAGATGTTCGATTTGGTGGAAAGATGAAGACCTGTGAACACTTAAAGATGCTTTCAGATGCTGGGACAAAAAACTCAAGTAGTCTCAGCGAGCAGGAAGAGCAACTGGATGGAAGCCAAAATTGCATCAATGATATGTTACGTATGCAAAACACTAACAAATATAGACGACTTTATGGGTAGCAGATAAAATCGAGAGCCGACAAGATATCAGCCAGATATAACATATAAGCTATAGTTGATAGATATACATGTATATATATATATAGATATATATGTTTAAATATAAATATGTGCATGTAAATAAACAAGATTCGGGGAGCTGGGCGCCGAATGTCGACGAATCATTTATGGCACTTAACGGGTGCAATTCACAATTTGATTCGATTTGTGGATATTGTTACATACTCGTGTGTTGTACATATGTATGCCTATTTAAATATATATATATATATATATATATATATATATATATTGATATATAAGCATGTGCGTTCTTGGACATTTTTTTAAGCACTGTATTTTATAAATGTTTACATACATAAATACATACATATGTGTTTTATGCTATTCACTATTGCTAGTCTAGAATTTATGAATGTTTTAAAATAAATTTTTTTTATTGTTGTCGTTCGCTTTTTCAATTCTCTTATTGTTTTTATTTGTTTCTTATTTTTGTATGTTTTTGCCGCTTTAGCCGCGCACCGTGGCCATTCGTTGCGTCTGACACGCGAAACACGTAACACCGCAATGAAGTCGACAGGCGAAAGACAAAATATTTTGGCCCGCAAGCCGAAAACAGCAAAGCGAAAATGGCGAATACGCTGGCAGTGACAGAGGCAGAAAGCATAAAGCACAAGGCAGAAAGCAAAAAGCAGACTTCGACGAGCGACCGACCGAAAGACCGACCCACCGACCGACCGACCGACCCACCGACCGACCGACCCACCGACGGACCGACCGACCGGCCGACCTGGCGCAACGGCCAAAACACACCACGAACAAAAAGTTGCTGCAGAGCCGGGCGGCGGGGCGCAAACGTGTGTGCGAATAATAAAAAAAATAAAACACTGGCAATGGCAACGGACGAAACAAGAAAGCGGCGGCATCTCGGCAACGGCATCGGCATCGGCATCGGCATCGGCATCGGCATCGGCATTGGCATCGAAACGACGACAACAACGCACGTGTTATTTGTACCAGCACAAAAAAGCGGAGAAGAAAAAACAAGGAAACAACAATAAAATACAAGAAATTGTCGTAGAAGCGGCAAGGCAAGAGACTAAGAGAGAAAGTGCGAGAGAGCGGCACAACGAGAGGGAGAGCATAAGAGCATAAGCCTAATAGCACGCGCAATTGCAATTGAGTAACAGAGCCCAGCAGCTTTTTTGGCTCTCTGTTTTTGTGGTGAATTTGTGAGCGGCACACACGTGTTCCAGTTTTCGAGCGAACCATCCCAAAACCGCAGTGCAGCCCATCAAGCCCACAAAAAAAGACGCCCTGCCCCACCACCAACACTTTGGTAGGCACAACTGTGCGGCTCTTGTTACTATGTTCTGTCCAAAATGTGACTTCGCAAGGCAAATGGAAATGGACACGTACATTGTCGTATATACGTAAGCGTACACATACATGTGTATACATGAACATATACATATATAGTTACACATGCCATGTACATACATATGTATGTTGTACTCATGCACAATTTGTGTCGAGTCGCAAGTGGCCACACTTTTTTTCGGGCTTAAGCATAGCGAAAGCTGAGTTTACAGTTTGTTTTTTTTGTCATTCTTTTTTTTTTTGCCTGATGTACTTTGTAACCACACACAGAAGTCCACCCTGACACAGATAGCATATAAATATCATATTTAGGGCGAGCTATGCATACAGAGCAAACGCCGGGGAGTGTATACAAGTTAGCCACTAAGTCTCAAGTGGGACAAGCTGATTGCTTAGAGCATAATTTATTTAATTAACCTGTGCCAACCACGATAAATGAATCAAGGCAAACAAAGAAAAAGAAGACACAAATTGAAAACAACTTTTTCAGCACAATAAAAACAGTTATGATCGGCTTTTATGGTCAGAAATGGAACAGTGCAAAAGTATTGTACCACATGGCGTATGGGTAATAACAAACGTATTCCATATTTTACTTAAGGTTGTTTACTTTATACTGCATGATTTGTATATGATAAATTGTTAGTTCAATTTAGGCCAGCTACAATTGATTAATATTTTCTTTGACCACGTTTCTTATAATTAATACTATAGTTTAAAACTTGAAAAGTGATTTGACTCTGCAACTGTCGATTAACTCACGTTTGAAACCATCTTAATGGCAGTTTTGATTATATATTACCCAACCTAACCCAACTAGAATCTTAAAGTTTTTATTTTAACTACGTGTCGTATGAGCAATGTAATGAAAGCCTTGAGAAAACATACTAAAATATATAATTGTCATTACCAACTTAAAGACTCAATGAGTTAATCGTCTTAAGGGCATTTTTTATACTTAGTTAGCTCGAATTTGTAGGATTTTTACCACGTGTCGGATGAGTTATATAGTAAAAGACTTTTAAAGCAAATTACTTGCACTTGTGATTGGCGATTAACTCTCTTATTAAGCCAACTAGAATTTTTAAGAGAAAATTTATTTGATTATATAATTGACATTATCAAACTAAAAAACAACCTTAGTTAATCGTCTTAGAGGCATATTGAAATTAATATGCTTAGTTAACTCAAATTTGTACGATGTTTTTATAACATGACGTATGAGTAATATAGTAAAAACTTTTAAGCAAATTACTTGTTTGATTGCCAATTAACTCTCCTATTAAGCTTTCGCATATCTAAGTGTCTTTATATTTATCAGCTCGCTACAAGTTGACCGATTTTTTACCACATGTCGTATGAGTAATATAGTAAAAGACTTGGAAAAATAACTTGTCGCATGAGTAATAAAGTAGAAGGCTTGAAAAAGTAAATCGATAGAATACAATTATCAATTAATATATCTATTAAGTCCTGTCGTGGCATTTTAAAATATTTATTAAATATCTAGCTTAATTGACAGAGTTTTTTTTACCACATGTTGTATGAGTAATAAAGTTGCACACTTGATAAATATCTGAATATGGAATTGTCATTTAACTCACGTTTCGAGGGCTTTTTAAAGTATATATTAAATAGCTAACTAAACTTTCAAAGCGTATTTTTTTTATACCACATGTCGTATGAGTAATATAATTGTCAATTAACTTACGTTTGGAACGACGGCTTTGAGATTATAATATTGAAAAGCCAACTAGAATTTTTAGGTTTTTTGATTTCTCAACCACGTGTCGTATGAGTCTGGAGAAAATGATTTAAATATATGTATAATTGCCATTACCGACTTAAAAAATCACTTAGTCGATCGTCTTAAGGGCACTTTGAAATTAATATATTTAGCTAGCACGCATTTTTAGGATTTCAATCACATGTTTTATGAGAATTATAATGAAAGACTTGAAAAAATTACTGGTTGTATGAGTAATATGGTAAAAGACATGAAAAATTACATGATAATATATAATTATCAATAAATAAACCTTTTAAATACTCTCAATGGCATTTTTAAATGTTTATTTATTAGGTATCTAAAATTTCTGAGATTTTGATTATCACATATATGGGAGTAATATATTAGAAAACTTGAAAATTGAACCTGAAATTACATGATAATATATAATTATCAGTTGACTCACTTATAAGGGCCTCTCAGGTCCATTTTCCAATATATGTCAGCCAACTAAAATCTGTAAGCTTCTGTTTCTCCACACGTCGTATGAGTAATAATTTAGAAAACTTGCAATTGGAACTAAAAACTAATTTAACTATTTAAATCTCAATTAGCTCACATATAAAGCCCTGTTGATGCACACTTATATTTTTTCTTAACGCGTACTGAAAACTCTTCCGCAGTTATACTAAATCGTACTATAATCAACCTCTATCTGCGGCACTACTGAAAATATGGGCTTGTCCAGCAATAAGTGCATAGCACAAAGCACTCAATCCACATATTTATACCATATATATACAAGCGAAACAAATAACTTTTTAATTATACTATGGGAACAATATAAATAATTCTGCACCGATTAAATTTGTACAGTTGCGTACCATTATTTGTGCAAAATTGTAAACATTATTGAAATACGTTCAGGCGGCACTTGAAAATGATACTTCTATAAGATTGGGGATGAAACAACAGTGCTCTAGTCCATAATGCACGACTAGGACATGCCCTGTATCCAGCAGTCAGACACATACTTAAACAGAAAATATGACAAACTATTGCCTTACAATTGGCATAGTCTTGAATACCTCAATGCTTTGTACTCCGATATTTGTGAAAATTTCAGGGATTTAGAAGAGCAACTAAATGTGTGTGTATACCCAAGCCCAAGGTTTTAGCTTCAAAAATGGGCTTATATAGTTTTGAATCGGAGAATGGGGGTGGTAGCTAAAAGTTAAATATTCTTACAATGTATATAGCATAAAAATTGAGTTAGACCGTTGATCAGACGTTGCCAGATTGACTTGACTCGGTATTCTGATAATGTCGAATTTGCTACAAATTTCAAAAATGTCGTAGGGTACAATTTAAAGATATCAACCATATAATTTCGACAGCCTACACTTTGTAGTATTTCTAGCATCCGATTTGCGGTGCATGTCACGACTAATTGGACCATTCACCAAGCCATTATTTGTGCTGCGTTTGGTGTGGAACACCACACAAAAGCTGAAAGACCGAAAAGCTTTGCATGAAAAATGCAAAATCGCCCCAAAACATGACGCATACAAAAGCTCACGCCGCGAATTCTTAGCGTTTGCGCGTCTGCTGGACTGGGTTAAATAAGAGAAAATGCCACAAAGCTGATTTTTAATTTAATTCGGGTTTTTCATTTGTGAAATACAATGAAAATACAGGAAATTTAAATTCGATTTACAAGAAGCTTTTGCTCGGAGCGATTGTAGGTACCGCACGTAAGACATAACGCTTTGAAAGCACCTGAAAGCTACGATTGAAAGGTGGTCGAAAATGCACACCCAACACTGTTTTATGGCATTCAGATCGTGTCATAGATTGTTATATATTTTGGTTTCTGATTTCGCATCATGAAGATTCATATAAATATCATAGATACATATATATGTGTATGTACGTATAGATTGCATTGATTTATATACTCACATGATGCGATGGTAGGCATCCGGCTGCGTTTGGGCACATGTCACGGACTGCTCGGACTCCGTAGAATCATCGCGCAGCGTCGCAACGCCGAGCGGTAGGATGGGTATTATAGCAGCTGTTGCAGCTGCCGCTGTTGCCGGCGGTCCCGCCAATGCCGCCGTGTATGCTGTCGGCGGCGTTCCGGTAAAGGTTTGCGTTTGTGGAGATGGTGTCGTACTTACGGCCTCCTACACGTTACCAAAGTGACGCAAAAAATTAACAACAAAACAAAACAAAAAAAAAGAGAAAAGAGAAAAACAACGTCAATTTGGAGAATGTTCCTAATATGTCAGAGCACTGCATTAAGATTGAGAATACACAAGAACCTTGAATTCGGCTGATTCCTGTACCGAGAAGCGTTTGCGTTCGTATTGAATTTCCCGCTCAATGGAGCGGCTGCGAAAGGCGGGCGGCAGCGAGCGATCCGGTGGTGTTTGCAACTTGGGTGTGTCCGGCGTGTGAACCCGTCCACTGGTGCTGACCTGTGTTGCAGCACCTTGTTGCAGCTGCAATTGCTGGCGCTGCGGTTGCTGCTGTTGTTGCTGTTGCTGCTGCGGCAGCTGTTGTTGTTGCTGCTGTTGCTGTGAATGTGACGATGTTGTAGGTGGACTCTTATCGCTTTGTTGTTGCTGCTGTTGTGGCTGCTGCTGCTGTTGCTGCTGCTGTTGCTGCTGCTGCTGTTGCTGCTGCTGCTGTTGTTGCTGTTGCTGTTGCTGCTGCTGCTGGTGTTGCTGATGTTGCTGCTGTAATTGCTGCTGCTGTTGCCGCTGCTGGTTCTGCTCCTCACGCTTTTGCTGCCGTCGTATTTCAAAGTCCAGCAAACGCGCCTCTCGTTGCTCCTTGTCGCGCTGTTTACATGCAATTGTTGCAAAGTGCATTTTAACTATAAATTCATCATCAGCTCTACGGCCATATTTGTGCCTAATTACGAGCAATACTTATGGAGTTTCTCATCATTGAGCGCACTTTGCATTTTTGATGAAGCGGATTGCATAAAAAAATGTTTTTTTCGTTTTTCGATTTGTTTTTAATTTTTCTATTTGTTTTGTTTTGTTTTAGTTGTTATTTATCTTTTTTTTTTGTTTTTGTTTTTGTTGGGGCCGCGTCTGCTTGCACACACACACACACAGCGTTAGACGCGCACGAATACACGCACGCATGCACGCACGCACGCACGCACGCACGCACTCACGCCCACACACACACACGCACATACGCATTCAGCGAGCGAGTGACAGGGAGATTGATTGAGAGAGACAGGTGGGGGGAGAGAGAGAGAGAGAGAAAGAGAGAGAGAGAGACACATGCACCGACACACTCACCTTATAATTGATAGCGTCCTGCTCTTCCTTTTTGGCCTCACGTTCGTTGCGCTGCCGATCGCGTTGCTTTTCCTCGTCGGTTTGCGCTGTTTTGCTGTCTGTGTTGTGAAACGAATAAAAAAAGAGAAACAGAAACAAATGCCGATTGATAACTAATATGTACAGCTATTCAATTGCCATCGTCGACGGGTGGCTGCGTTCTCCATGCGCAATTCGAAAAGCAAGAAATCCTTACCAAATTAAAACGAATCATGAGCATACCGAATACATACATACAATGCATACGAAATCAAGATACATACATAATTATTTACATGGTGTAAGTTTTAGCGGGATCAGCATGCCGTATTTACATACATATATGACACGAAAACAAATAACAAAAACAAACGTATGCACAAGCAAAACGAAAACCAAAAAATAAAAGCAAAAAAAGAATCAACACTCTAAACTAATTCTAGAAGACTTTTGACAAGCTACAACCACTTCCCTGTCGCATTCCGTCGTGCACAATTCATATACTATTTATATAGATCTAACTATAGCTACGAATAAGCGAAACTATAAATTTTAAACTGGTATGTAGGAATTGTTGTACTTATGTATGCATGTACTAAATTTGGCAGATGGTTCACTTTCATATATATATAGTTGATTTCTTATTCGATTTCAGGAAATAAAGCTATACTATGCTACATTTAACTTTACTTTATATACATCGACTTGGCCCAAAAGTATGCTACGAAATTTAAGTTGAACTATATTACATTATTATTGGTCTTAAAAAGATGGACTATGTGATTTCCCAAGTTCAGATTATTTTGCAAGTGATGCTTACTTTTTTTACAATGTGAAAGCAAAAGCTTGGATAAATATTGGAAAAAATGATTAGTTGTAGTTAGTAACATAAAATACATCTAATTTGCATTAATTATTATCAGTAGTCTAGAGCTACTAAGATTAGTTTAGCAATAATATGAGAAGCATATATGTATATGAGAATGAGTATCAGCATGTTAAGCACTAGCTAAATGCTCTAGCATTTGATTAAAATTGAATAAAAGCTATTAACTATTGTTCGCAAACTTTAGTGAAGTGAAGAATGTTTTCTATGCATTTGCCTAATTCAATAAGCTACACTTTCAGCTCGTGTCATTAGGTTAAAAGCGTGACCTTCAATTTGCATTAAAATAAGTAGTACATATATGCATAAGTTGTGTGTACAATCATACATACCAGATTTGTGTTTGTGTTAGTTGTGCTTCTTCTTCATCTTCTTGTACTTGTTCTTATTTTCTTTGAACCAACCACACTATTGTACAATAATTGTATTAAATGTAAGTACATACATATGTATGTATGTATGCATGTGCCATAACCTTTGAAAAGGAATCACTTGAAGCGAGAAATATTACAGAGACGCGATATTCTACTTATGGACTTATGTATGTGCTTACAGTTATTCGACATACTTATGTATGTGCATAAGTATACAACAAGAGCAAACAATACGAAATGGAAATAAAAAATTGGGGCAAACTAAAAAAGGAATTATTGTACTAGTACTGCAGACAATATTTGCAAACAGAAATTGGGGAAAATAATGCTTTCTGCAACCATAGCAAAACAATCTAATATAATAAACAGAATTCAAATAACAAAAATAACAAAAATAATAATCATAATAATACTAAAAAGAATACGAATAGAAAACAGAAAATATGCGATAAATTTCAAATTCAATTTAGGCAACACTACGAGACCAGAGAGAGAGAGAGACAGACAGAGAGAGAGAGAGAGAGAGAGAGAGAGAGAGAGAGAGAGAGAAAGAGAGAGAGAGACAGAGAGCAAGAGCGAGATTGAGTGAGATAGGCGTACTCCTTACCTCTAGATGTGTCAGTTGGTTTTGTTGTTGTTGATGTTATTGTTGATGTTGATGTTGATGTAGTTGTAGTTGTTATTGTTCTTGTTCTTGTCGGAGGTGGTTACAGTGGGTGTGTCGATTGTATGATATTTTAGCATTTAAATTTGCAACCTGACGAGTGCGTGTGTTGCGTGTGCAAAGCAGCGGAAAGTTTTATATTTATTATTATTTTTGTTTTTTCTTTGTTTTTGCTTTTATTTAATTGCTTTGTTTTTGCTGTTTTGCTTTTTTTTTGTTTGTTATACATTCAATTTAATTTTGATTTAAATTATTTTGTTCGTTTGTTTTTATTTTGAACAGCGGCGGCGGCGTTTATCGACGAAATTAGCAGCGTGAGAGTGTGTGCGTGTGTGCGCATACCATGAAGAGGGCAGTTTACCGTTACAACCGGGCACAACGAATTATCGAATAAATGGCAGCAGCTGCATATGCAGTGGCAGTGTATGCGTGGGCCTGTGTGTGTGCGTGGGTGTGTGTGTGTGTGTGTTGGATGTTCTTGTTGTTATTGCTTGTTATCTTTTTTTTGTGTGTGTTTTGCTGTCGTGTTGCTGAGGTCGAGGTAACACAGAATATACAAATACTCTTGCAGCTATGCACATGTGTGTGTGTGCGTGCGTGTGTGCGTGTGTGTGCGTGTGGGTGTGCTCATGTGTTATTCTGTCTACGAATCATGTTGAAAATGTTGATGTACCGTTTAATGTTGGTATGTATGGCAAGTAATACATATATACGATCTTGCTAGAACTGTAGCTGAGCTGTGGCAGTTACGTGGTCGTGGAGGTGGGCGGTGGGCGTGTCAAGGTGGATTAACGACACAATATCAAAGAAAAGAAAAGAAACAACAAAATTGTGAATGATTAATAATTTAGTTCAAAACGATTTGCTTTGCATTGCTTTGCTCATTTTTGCAATTGGCATTAACTATGCTTTCATGTATGTTTTAAGCAAAAACAATTTTTCAATTTCAATACATCTGGTTGCAGCAGCAGCCACAGTTAAAACATACATCTACAAATACATAGAGAAACGAGTTAAAACAAAAAACCAACAAAACATACAATTAAATTCCTGTTTCTAGATTTGATATATAACATATTATATTATATTCTAGCCCCACTAATCGATCTCCAACTAACTAACTAGTTTTCTAATTTAAGTACAACGTGTTGTGAATGTTTGGAAAATTGAAAAACTAAACTATTTGAGTTCGCTAACTGTTCCTAAATACACACACACACACACACACACTCGTATATGTGTTCTCATACCTTGCAGATTGCTTCTTCCTGGTCTGGAAACTATAAGCTACATACATACATACGTAGGCGCCGTTATGCATTTGCCTAGATAACTGTTTATCCAAAATGAAGTTGAAAACAAAAAACTTAGAATTTAAATTGTGACTGATTTGTGTTGTACTATATAATATACTTATATAGCATTTGGTACATATGGTACTTAGCACTCGTACTACACGATAACAGTCTCATTTTAATAAACGTACCAAGAATTTCGAGATACATAATCAATATTTTAGATACATACATATATTTGTATTGATATTTAGCATAGTATATAGTTTTACATCTATGAGTATACGATTCAGGTTCACTTAGTTACATACGTACGTATACAAACGCAAGAATATATTTAATCGAACTGTAAACAGAGCAAGAGACTGGGTACATTTAGAGACTTGCCGTTATAAAGGAAAAACAACCAAAGAAATCAAAAACGAAAAATTATGAAAAGACGTACAAGAAATCAAAAATGCTGCAACTTCTAAATCGTACATGCAACTCACTTGAGGAGCCGCCGCCAGCGCCAGGTGGCGGATAGGAAAACCAAAATTGATGTGCCAGTTTGAAATGGCCCAAAGATGGGCTTGCTGCAAGAAAAACAATTCATCGTACACTTTACTATGGGGTTTAAATATACGTGGTTATGTCAATATTCGATGTATGGGCATATCTCCTAGTCTTATTAATAAACAAGTATCTGGCCCAATATTACCTAATTTTCAGATAAGACAAAATGTTGCGAGAATAATTCAACATTTTCTGATGTTAATTGAATAATATTCAAATATTCACGTCGTCTTGAAATCGACTCAAATTCAGTTCAAATTGCATTCAATAGCAGTTCAAGGATGGTTCTAAAAATTGCGATTTGCTTTGTTATAAAGGTCAAGTAAAACTAATACAAATAGTTCACTCAGTTAATATGCAAAGTTTTACAAAGGCACATTAATTGCATAAAGCATTTAGGCAAGTTCTCTTATAAGTTTATGGGAATAGGAATTGTGTATCTACTCTGAGCATTGCCCATATACATAGTTGACAGTTACTTGAGGTTTATGTATGCCCTATTACCGTTATGCTCATTATAATGGAAACGGTAATCATGGCATATTTGTTAAAGCACGTGACACTTTGTGTGCCGGCTTCCTTGGAATTGTGTGTTCTGCTCAACTTTCAATGGATACTCACCAATTAACTAGAGTCGTGTACTTTTCTGACTTGATAAGATAAAGAGCTTAGTTTAGTTTTTATGTTGTTGGCAGCGAATCGAATGTACGTACATATGTATGTGTGTACGTGCACATATATGTGCATATATGTACATACATATGTAGCTCTTAAATGTGAGTGTGTGTGTATTATATTTGATTGCATGTGCATGGCCATGTGCACACGTGTGTGTGTGTGTGTGTGTGTGTGTTGTATAAATGTATATTCATCAGAATGCCACAAACGAACTTCGAACAGTTCAACTGGGTTTTATGTCCGAAAATTCAAGCAAATTAATTAAAAAAAAAATACACAAAAAAATACCCGCATACGCGCACACACACACACACAGACAACAACACATACAGGCAATGCTGCAATGCACAACAAACAACATTCAATAATATGCTTGAAAAAAAAAATCCACGTATAATCCTCTTTGATTAAGTTTCTGACGATTAACCGGTTCAACTTTGACGGAACTGAAGCACATCGTTAAATACATATAGGTTAAACGGTAAACGTTATATCTGACACATTTGCAACATTTTCAAGTGTAATTTAATATGGGCACCTACTATATGAAATTCGACACACTGCGCTGCCGTTTATCGCGAGTCGAGGAGGGTTCTGCAAGTACGAACAAGTATCAAAACGCCAGCAGCATCAAATGTTTGTCGTCGGCCTTCGCAATGCAAAGCGCTGTCGCTGTTAACGCCGCAGTCGCTGTCGACGTCGACGTTAACGTTGCCAACGCCATTGCTGTCGCTGTCGGCGGCAGTCGTCGGCCATTCGGCTGGCTGTTTTGCGCCTTCGTATCTGGCCACACTGCAGTTGCACCGCACAAGTCTCAAGTAGCCCGCCCCAGTGCCAGCGCGCGCTCTCTTGCGCTCATGCTCTCGAATTTGTTTCTTTTTTTTTTCTTTGGCACTCTCCGAGTGGTCGGCTCTCTCGGCGCTCGGCGTTATTAACGTCGCTTTTCTTTTAATTGGCATTAACGATTTCAAGCCAAAAGCCAGGTGCAACCCAGCGAAAACGTATGCAAAACATTCGGACAAGAAACATGACAGCTACAACTAAATACTTAGAAAGTCTCTTATTTTTTTTTTGTTTTCTTATTTTTTTTTTTTTTTTTTTTGTATATTAGTGTCCAAGTATTAACTTAAGCTCCAGCCGATGTGCTTACGTGCTAACCAATTGTTGGCACAAATCCAAAAGGCAGCATATTGCTGACATCATCTCATGTTCAAAAATTGGCTCAAAACCACAAAAACGAATCAGTCGAGCAAAACCTTGGGCTTTAATTGAGTGTTAAATAATACATTGATCATGCATGCACCGAAAACAAGAGCTACTCCAACTGCATACTATTGTGTTTGATCATTAAAGTTTAATCAATCAAATATACTAGATAATCGACCAAATATTTAAACATGCAGCCAAACTAACTTTTATATAAGTTGGCATGCCTACTAAATGTAACCCCTTTTAATATAGCACACACATACTATACCAAAACTGAAGTGCACAATTTATTGCCTACTTTCTGGCGCTGTAAAATTGCCTACTGAAGAAGTCTCTGCTCAGCCAACTTATGGCCCGATAGTGTTACACTCATACAATCAGAATGGACAGCAACTAATGACACAATAGTTAAACACTTACTATATAGTTCTAGTATACAAGTAGTTTTTATATTTATCGGACATATCCTATTTGGTAAATTTCTTTGGCTTCAGCTGCAGAGAGCGCCAGCTTGTTTGTTTTGCTATTTAATAAATAAGCAGCTAAATAATGCAGACACGAGAACACCCACAAAAGTATTCGCACATATATAAATATATGGTAGACATACATATGAACAAAGCGTGTCACAGTCCATTTAGTTGAACATGGACAACTTTCAGGCATTCTATCCAACTATATACACTTTTTTAAGGAGAGAATAGAAAAAAAATGTAAAAAACAAGAAACAATAGAAAGAAATATACATAAACACTTTAAAATTTGTATTCTTATCCGTATCATAAGGCATTACCATTGGCTACAGACGAGTAGCCAAAAACCGGAACAAGCTAAACCAGGGCACGTTTGATGCGTGAAGTGAGACTTGTCGGGGACTTGCAATGTGTGTGACTGTGGCTGCTGGACTTGATTGTGCGACTGGCTGGGTGCTCCCACGTCGCCTCGGTGCTGCCCAAACTATGCACATTGTCTCATAATGGATGCCTGATTACAACCGAGAACGAGCGCCAGCACATGGTTAAAACTCTAACGAGCCACGAAGGAGCGAAATAGCGAAATAGCGAAACATCAGCAACTCGCATACACTCTCTTTTTGGTTGGGAGAGCGCATGGCTCTCAGCACGTCTGCGTGGGAAAGCAGGAATTCGCCGAAGCACCCAGCAGGGTCCTTGTCCCCTGACTCCTGTCCTACATGTGCCACTTCTGATATTTAACCATTCATTTATGCTGCAGAGATTCTTCGAAACTCTTAACCTCTGCTTCACCATGACAGATAACATGTGCTTAAGTTAATTCTTATGACAACGTGGAAAGTTAAATCCAACAAACTACGTCCGTTCTACAACCAAAGCGCACATATATGTAAGCATGCGTGAGTTAAAGACTTGATACTTGAATTAAATATGCGCTACTTGTATCAAAAAATATAAAAAAGAACCGCCAATTTTTAGCTTGAAGCTATGTAGCACGCCGATTGCCCGCCACAAAATATCGATTTGTTTTAACTGACAAGCCATTTAACACAACATTCAAAGCAAGTCAGTTATCGATATTAGCACGAAATTGGCATTTGAATAAGTCAGCGCTATCGCAAGAGTCCGTTAACAAACTGAATTTCCCAGTCTTTTAATTATATGTTTTATTTAATTCATTCGATGCTCGATTTTTGATTCAACAAGGCCATCCACGCCAACACGCATATGTGAAAGATAAAACATTGCATGCATAACAACTAAAATAAATCTAGAATAAATCAAGGATCATTAGGCATATATGTATGTATGCTTGGAAAACTATATTTCTCCGTGCAGTTTTGCACTAAAAAAAAGGTCAAATAAGCTAAATGCTGGATATGTTAGTTTGAGTTTTCCCCCAATTAATTACAGGGCGCTGAAAACCTTTTCAGAGCTGAGGGAATCATGATGTAGAGATGACAGACCCATAGATATTAAATACATTGATTACAGAATTGTTTTTAATAAATAGATATATTTTAATAATATCAACTCCAGTTTATGCTTTATTTTTTATTGAGCACTCGACCTGTCCCAAATGTGCGATAAGGTTTGGTTAAATTATTTTACAAATTGACACATTCGTCGATTTACATACATCATATGTTCTTGTTTCTATATTTATGAATTCTGCATATCAATAAAAAACAAATAAAATATAAACAAAAAACATATTTTTTAGTGTTTTTGTTTTTTTTTTTTTAGGTTTTTTTTTTGTTTTTGACACATCTCGTTGCGATGACAATTCTTTCATTTTTTTTTGTAATACATACAATACATACATATTTAGTTTTCAGTGCAGTTTCAACGCAACGGTTTTTATAATGTCATCAATACAAACAGAAACTATATTTTCTTTTTTTTTTTTTTTTTTTTGGTTTTGTTTCTGTTTTTATATATGTACATATATTTACGCATACGTAAGATTTAAACCCAGTAATTACTAAGACTAACAATCAAAGCTGTGCAAATCGAAAATTTTCATTTTTTGGTTTTTGGTTTTTGTTTTCCTTTAATTCTTTTTTGTATTTTACTTTATTTATTTATTTTATACCATTTTTTTTTTTTTTTTTTTGATTTCCGAAACACCAATCAATTCCACTTTCGCTGAACTTGATAAAATCGCGATTGCTAGTGTTGAAAAATTCCATATGCATGAACAATGGAAGATTAAAACCAGTTTGTATAGTATTTGTTGAGTTTTTTTGCTCTTGTTTTTTTTTTTTTTTGTTTTCTTTTTTTTGTTTTCTTGTTTTTGTTATCTTGTTTTTGTTTTCTTGTTTGCTCATAGTTGCAGTGTCGCCATTTTCATATTTTTGTATTCAGAATACATAAAAATATAAATATTAGTGCCAGCAGAATTAACATAAAATGTTAACAGTAAAGTATAAACATTCGAAAGTGTGTGTGTGTTTCATTTTTTAAAATCAGTTGTAATTTTTGATTTTCTTGTAGTTTTCATAAAGGCAATCATTTGTTAAAAATATTACATTATGTTGACTTTCTCATTTGTATTGGCAACACTGACTGTCATAAGTATATGTACACAAATTTGTACTAGTTTACTCTCTGCCAATTTTTGTGGTTAAGCTATGTGTGAAATTTTGTCATTATTGCACGGTGAATCGGTCGGCCAACACTCACAGGGAGTTAAAACTGAAGAAATACAAAATATAAGAAACTAAAATGTTTTTGAACTCTAATCATATTATGAAGGCGCATACAAATAATAAATTTCCATATATATATATATATATATATATAAATCTATTGAATGGCGAATGAAAGGCCTTAAACATAAAGCAATTATTTGTAGATATATTTGTGTATCTACAGATTTTTTTTTTATTTAAGCAAACCAAAGTGTGAATTATATTACAATTTGTTGCCCAGACGATTTTTAACGATTTAAGTCACATTTATAACGTGATAATACTTGCTTGCGTACTACTAACATTTACAATTCATTGCTGCAACTGTGTTGCAAACTTTCATTTTATACAAATTTCCACCCGCCTTTCATTTTGTCGATATTTGTTACGAATCCAGTTTAACCAGTATTGGAAAGGAATGAAAAGAATGAAAACTAGAGGGAAACAATGCAAATCTTTAAAAGTTCACATTTGAGTTTGGTTTTAGTTTTTTTTTTTGTTGGATCTGTTTTTTTTAATATTTTTTTAAACTGAAATTTACTTAATTTTCATTTGAACAAATAGCTCTTGAATTAGCCCCAGACTAATGTTAAAAATGAAAGAGGAACCACTAAATAATGTACTATATACTGAAACACCTTTTGTTCTATAGCTCTGCTCCATTCACACACTAGCTGTTCTCTTCTTTTCTTGTCGCCCCACAAAACTCGGTCCCATTAGGCTGTATGACCTACTTGTATATTATTCTTAACAAAAAGAACTTCTTTCCGTTCAGTATATTTACAGATGTGAGTGTGTACACACTTTTTGTTAGGTTATGTATGCATTACAGATAGAGATATAGGTACAGATAAGTGCATATAGTATCAATCGATATATATATATCATGCTCTAACATATAACATACTGCTACTGAAAGGACTTCGACTACCATACATACATTCATATCATCTATATTTGGTTTTGGGCAAGTATAATCACGGCATAAATAGCTGACTCTCAAAATAGAATTGAATAAGGGTATATATCAAAATCGACGTCTGTAACAGGCCTTATGTCTTTACTTAGCTTCAATAATATTACACAGCCAGTTAGGCAGATCATCTATAAGTATTTACTTATACATGCCTTTTCCAAAGCATAACACCTAACCCAATAATAACCAAAGAATCTGAGCAGATCAGTTCCTCAGCTCTATACATACATCATCATTCATCAGTTTCATCACCATCATCATCATCATTATCATCATCATCATCATCTTGATCATCTTAGTCATCAATATCTCATTCTCATAGTAACAAAATGGTATTAGTAATTATGTAGGGATGTTTTTTTTAATGCTCTTAATGTTTCTCTGAGTTATGTAACGTCTTTTCAGTTTATGTGATAGTCGAGAGCGTTGTCAGTTGCATAGTCTTTGTCGACGGCGAAGCCATCGGCGATGGCGTTGGCACAAACAGGCTGGACGAGGCAGTTTCTGTGGTTAGACTGCGCTCCTCGTACACTCCGGTGCGTTCCTGAAACACGTATTAAATAAATATATATATGCATATGGTATAATATGGAGGAAAATACGGGGAGGTTTACGGTTCGAACCAAACTTCTTACATCTACGAGCGTCGATTTTGGCGCATAAAACCCAAAATTTCTATATATTGGTAAGATAACTTAAGTGATTTCGGGCCAAGTTACTTCTACTTTGCATTCTGAGTTTCCCTTGAAAGTAGAATAATATCCAATTTACTGATGCAGAAAATTATATTAATTGCCTCTGCTGGACTGGAACTCGCGACCCTATTAAGCGCACAAGTACGGCATGGCCTCATACAAACATTCGGTTTATTTGAAGAAAAACGCAATTCTATAAAAAGTGTTTGAAAAGGAACATGTATGTGGGCACATATATGCAGAAATATTTGACATAAGCAGGATAGGTTTCGTTTAAGGTTCGGTTCATAGGGATAAATGTATAAATCACTAGAACAACTTACGTGCGATTTGTCGTATTTGAAACGTTTCCAGATGTTTGTCTTAGGCTCCATAGGTGTGCCGTCCACGTTATAGTTAGGATTGGAGAAGGTCAGTACTGAGCGGCTGGATCCTCGTGAGTTGCGCTTCGCCTTTTTGCGATTTGTATTAAAAGCGAGCACTGTTAAGTGTAACGGAGTATTATTATGCGATCAATAGATGAAAAGTAACAGGAGACCTACTGAATATAACTAGCATTATGATGATGACCATCACAATGACAACGCCGAGCGCTACGAGCACAAAGAACTCGCGCTCGCTGTTCTCCTTGTTCTTGATGTCATCGTCGAGCTGGTTATTGTTATTCTGGTTCTCAGTTGATCCGGTGTCATCTGTCAGCTCGTCCGAGTAATCGGGTTGATCGCTCTCGAGGCGTGCCTGGACCATCTCTTTGGGCGTGGTAGAGCATGCGCGTCCATCGCTCTCCATCCGATCCGGACAGGCGCACACATAATCGACGGCACGGTAGAAGCACAGATGCGAACAGCCGCCATTATCCTGGGCGCACTGATTCCAGCTCTTTGCCTGGCGCTGTAGCGAGACAGCGCGTATGTCCAGCGCACCGCTCAGAGCGTCGCGCACCTCGAATGGATAACTATAGCCCATGCGTGGTACCCGCTGTGAGCGGTACACGGACTTGTTGTACCAATCGGTCCAGTATATGTTGCTCTCGAACTGAAAGAATGCATATTAATGTGGTTACAATTGGAGTGTTCAAGTCGAGAGTGCCCGACTTCGAGTTTGCTTGAGCTCAACGACAAGCTGACGTTGCAAATATTTTGGCTACCCTGTAACACGGTCGGCGCTCAAAGTCCGACCTTAACGGAATTTTTAGGGCTTCAATAGGTGTGTATATGAGTTACTTTTTCAATCTTCAAAAATAAGCATATTTTTAATCTGTGTAGGAGTACATATCAAAGTTAGTATAGCTAGATCTGATATTTTTCAGTCTCTGATTGCAAAACAAAGGCTCAAAATCTATTTTATCCACATAATGAAAATGAGAGTAGATAAGAAGAATATGAATTTCCAATTTCAAATCTCTAGATTCTGATACTGACGTGACAGATGGCCGGATGAACAGAGGGACATGATTGGATCGACTCAGCAAGTCGTAATGCCTTCCATATATTGCATATGTTACATTTCCACAAAAGATACCCTTTTAACACTCATTCAGTGGGTTCAGTTTATAAAAAAGAGTTGAAAGGGCAGGTTTTTAGCTAGCTTACCATGGTCAGGCCGAAAGGGTGTGGGGCATACGGCACAATAGTCTGACGGCGTTTTCCATTGAAATCAACCTGGCCAATATTGTCCTCAAGCGCATCGGCCCAAAGCAAACGTCGATTGCTGTCGGAGGTCATCAAGTTGTTAATAAGTCATGAACTTTATAGGAGTGCACCCATGCCATGAAACTTACGTAAAATCGATGGTTAGGCCCGTGGGAAAACCAATGCCAGATGTCACAATCGCTGTGCGATTTGAGCCATCCAAAATACTGCGTTCGATTTTCGACGGTGAGTTCCAGTCCGACCAGAAAAGATAGCTGCAGCGGCGAGAGATAAAATATATGAGCCTTAACAATAACTGATGCACAGCTGACTATCACATACGCCTTGGAGGGATGCACGATAAGAGAGCGCGGATCGCCCAAATCGTCTGTGATGAGCTTCTTGCGGCAGCTGCCATCGAGGCGTGCCACTTCAATCAGCTTGCGATCCGTGTCCGACCAGTAGAGATTATCGGCAATCCAGTCAACTGCAATGCCATTTGGTGTCAGCAGCTCGGTGCTGACCACCACTTTGCTGTCGGTGAAATTAAGCAGATTCACGCGGCGAATGACGTCCAGATTGACATCAGCGAAGAAGAGCCAATTGTTGCGATAGTGATAGTCCAGGACAACAGCTCCGTGTACTCCATTGATAGGCAGCACCACGTCCATGTAGTCCCCACTATTCAAAGAGATCATGCCGATGCCCGAGCGCAGCGCAATCAGTAGATAATCCTGCATGGAAGAGGTATAGAACTTAAGCCATATCCCGGCAAAAAAATATATTTATATATATCCTGAATGATTGACTGACGGATGCTGATTGGTGAGGATTTGAAGAATTCCACTCGCAACTTGGCACAATTTTTGGAAACTGACTCTAGGAACATTTTTTTGTTCAACGTTCGATTGGCTTCAAAGCCACCAATGATCACCAATAAGCCAGTGAGTCAGTCAGTCAGGGCAATCTATTATACATGTGATAGTAGATATAACTTACGTCTGGCAAATTTTGGCATTCCGTTGTACTATTCTCGCGCAACCTGAGTCCAGTGGGGCACTGGCATGTAAAGCCCGCAGGATTACGCAGGCAGAGATGCGAGCAGCCGCCGTTGTTGTGACCGCAAACATTCTCCGTCATCAGTTGATGCTTAACAATCACTTTAATGTCCATTAACCCATCAATGTTGGTCATGACGTCGCGCTTAGCGCTTGTGTTACGTCGATCAGCCATGTGCAGGGCCTTGGACTTCCAGTCGGTCCAATAGATGAAGTCCTCGGTGAGTGCCAGTGCATAGGGATGGTGTAGGGATGACATGATCAACTTGCGCTGGTTGCCCGTGTAGTCACATGAATCTATGGTTTTGAGGCGCGCATCCACCCAGTAGATGCGTTTGGTCTTCAGATCCAGTGAGAGCCCGTTTGGCCAGCCCAAATTGGCGGTCACAATGCGAGAGCGCTCGTTGCCGTCCAGGTGTGAACGCTCGATCTTCCGATAGTGTCCCCAGTCGGTCCAAAAGAGTAGACCAGCCTCATAGTCGAGGGCCAATCCACGCGGTGATTCTAGATCCTTATACGCAATGACATGTCGATGGTTGCCCTCAAGGGTGGCCACTTCAATTGTGTGACGACCTGCGTCGGCCCAATATATTGTGCGCCCAATGGAGTCGACAACTAGTCCGTCCGGATTCTCCAGGCTTTCGCCGATCACCTTATGCACATGCAAGCCATCGGGACTGGAGCTCATGATTACATTCTCAATGGTGTCTGACCAGAAAATATAGCCCGTCTTCTGGTCAACATCGAGAGCAACTGCATTGGAGATTGGCGGCAATGGGAGTACCACATCGATAAGATGGTCAAAGTCTAACGAGATTTGTCTGATATCGATGCGATGGGCAAAGAGAATGTATTTAGAAGGACCCTCCGAGCACGTACGACCATCTTCCCTTAGCTGCACCCCAACGGCACAGGCGCACGTGAAGCTAGTTGGATTCAGGAGACAAAGGTGGGAACAGCCGCCATTTTGCTTGTCACACGCGTTGTAAACCCGCCGTCGCATCCGATGGAAGACCCGTATATCCATTAGGTCACTGGTGTTCGCGATAACCGTGGCGACGCTCTTGCCCGTCATTTTATCGGCACTCATCGCCGATTTGGTATCCCAATCGGTCCAGTACACACGACCACCGCTCACATCCAGTCCAAAGGGATGGCCCAGTCCATCTGCATGACAACCCATCCATGCGGATCATTTGAAATTGGAATAGGGCTTCGCTACTTACTGATTATAACCTTGCGGCTGCTGCCATCAAAGTTCATGTTCTCCAGGGTTTTGGTTCCGCCGTCGACAAAGTACAGTTTGTGTTGATCATAATCGATGGCGAGTCCATTGGGCCAAATGAGTTTCTTGGACGCTATTATGACACGACTGGCACCGTCCATATTGGCTCTTTCGATCATTGCCTCTTCACCCCAGTCCGACCAGAACATAAGACCATCTATTTCAAAGAGAGGAATATTAGTATGCGCCATAAACTGTGCCCAAGCTAAGACTAGCAAAACTGGGGGTGGTTCCTAAGTTTCTTGAAATCTTTCATGAAATCAGCAGTGACTCTCAAAATGCTTTTTAGAGAAAGTGCCTTTGGCACTGGAACGTAACTTATCTACAAAAGAACCGACACCGGCTGATAAATCAAAAATTGAACAAGAGGCGGGTGCTGGGATGTAGAGGGTAATTATCAGAACGTCAGTTAATCTGAAATTCAGACTACTGAAGTTTGTCCCGGACTAATTCTAGAAAAGACCTAAAGTCTTACCATCATCAATATCTTTACGGATGACCAATTCAGGCTCGTTCTTCACTAGGGATAACCTCAAAACATGTAGCACACTGCCGGAACAGTCTCGTACTTAACAGATGTTAAGAGGAATTCTTGATCACTTAGAAAGACCCAGGCTCAATATTCTGTCTCTACTTGTAATGTTAATATATTCATGTGCAAATTGTATGACCCTAAAGAATATCGTTACTTTCCGAAATTCAGCTGACTCTCATGCAGTGCAATTTTGGGACTTTTGTCATATGTTCCCCATAATGCTTACCTATTGGATTGACAACAATATCGCGCGGCTTATCCAATTTTTCCCAGACAAGCAGCGTGCGCATTTTGCCATTTGTGGTGGCCACTTCGATGCGATTCGTTGAGGGATCCGTCCAGTACAGTTTATCGGTGATCCAGTCGAGTGCCAGGCCAACGGGCGAGACCAAATTCGAGTGAACGACGCGCTGCTGATAGCTGCCATTTAAATGGGCCTTATTGATGGAGCTACGCTCCACGTCGGTCCAGTAGATAAAATCGGTTTCGCTGCACCAGTCCAGAGCAACTGCATGCTTTAGGTTATCCAGGGGCACAATCATGTCGACCTCGTTCGGACCGGAGGGTTTGCTGTTTAGCTGGCGCAGGCGAATGTCCTTGCGCCGCGCGACCAGCACAAGCTTGTCTGGTGCGCTCTTGCATGTCTTGCCATCGTCCTTGAGCGAGAGCCCGATGGGACAGCCGCAGCGGCGGGATGTCTTGTTGGGCAGACACAAATGGGAACAGCCGCCGCGCAGGCCACGTCTGTCCTTCTGGCAACGATCCTGATAGTCTGGCTGCCGTGCCGGATGGTAGGCGTGTATGTCCATGGGGAAGTGAAAGTTCTCGTGCACCGATCGAAAGCCTTTTCCGGTTATCTTGTTTGCAGCCGAGACAGTCTTTGTGTTCCAGTCGGTCCAGTACATGGTATCCTCGAAGATGGTTAGAGCAAACGGATGAGGTAGATGTGTGCTAAGCACCTTGTTGCGCTCGCTGCCATCCAGGTTGGAGCACTCGATGGCATGCTGCTTGGCATCGGCCCAATATATTTTGCTATTGGGATAATCGATGGCCAGGCCATTGGGCCAGGTGACACCCTTCGATATAATCACTTGTCGCTGCGAGCCATCCATGTGGGCGCGTTCGATCTTCGGATTGGGTCCCCAGTCGCTCCAGAATGCCAGGGCCTCGCCCGGATGTATGACAATGGCACGCGGCTTATCCAAGTCGCTTGAAGCAATTACCGTACGCAAATTACCCTGAAAATTTGAGACCTCAACGCGCCGAGTGCCCGAGTCTGTCCAAAACAAAAGATCATGCACCCAATCGACGGCAATACCTCCCGGCGACTCCAATCCCCACTTGATAACATCGCGAACCCGTGTTCCGTTGATGTATACCATTTTGATCACATCGGTGGAGACATCGGACCAGAACATAAGACCCTTGCGATAATGAAAATCCAAGGCAATTGCATTGTGCAGCCCCTTCACTATGGCCATATAACGATTGTTGCTCAGCGTCACGCGCCGTATATCCCATCGGTTGGCCACGAGCAGCGTCATCGCCCCGCCCAGCGCCTTGCAGGTGCGCAAGTCCGGCCGCAATATATAGCCCATCTCACAGGAGCACACGAACGAGCCCAGCGTGTTGTGGCACTTCTGTGAGCAGACGGGGCTTGTCAGATATTGGCATTCGTCGATGTCCGTGCAGCTGTTCCAGAAAAAAAAAACCATCGGTTTAGTTTTATTTTTTTTAAATAACTTTTAAGCGTAGAGATCAGCTCGCGAGTCTGATAGACGGACAGATAGACTTGGATATATATACTTGGAGCAGAGCTTAGAGAGAGAGAGAGAGAGAGAAAGAGAGAGAGAGAGAGAGAGAGACAACACCTACTTGCGCTTATTCGCATTCATTAGATAACCCAAACGGCAGGCGCATTCATCTCGTCCTCGAGCCGATTTGATGCACAGCTGCTCGCACTGCCTGGGCTCGGGACATTGCTGCTCTACGGGACAGTTGACTTCATCCTCGCCGAGTGGACAATCGTTTTGGCCATCGCAGACATGTTTCTGGTGCACGCAAATTCTGCAAAGCATTTTCGATATTTTGTATTGTGTGGCATGCATGTAGTTAGGCTACATGCTTACTTTAGGTTTGTGATGTTCTTCTTGGCCGGGCAGAGAAATTGACCGGCATCGCACAGCAAATGACAGTCCACCTCGTCCTCCGCCGATGAGCAATCCGGATAGCCATCGCAGAGCCAGGTACGCTGTAAGGAAATAATGTTAAGATTCTATTCGTATTCAATTTAATGTTTTTTTTTCAATTCTAACGACTTCCTCAAAGAAGCCAATAAAACACTAGTATTATTCAGAAAGAAAAAAATATATGTTCTGGTGGGTTCGAGCTCGCGGTCCCATCAACCGAAGGAACTACTTCCTATCAGCTCATAGCAGCTCATAACCTGCTACAATAAAAGGGATATAATCAAAAAAAGAAAATTATTTATTTGGGAAAATAATACGTTTGTTGGCAAAGACGGACGAACATTGCACAAAAGCCAGTATACTCGCTTTCACGATCTGAAATGTAATGTCGCTCTGAATCACAGTGAACGAACTTTCGATAGTGAAACGCTATTGGCGACCTTCGATTATGACCGAGTGCCAATTCGTTGTCATCGATAACAAACAGGTGATGCGGCTCACAAAACTATCGATCAATTTGATTGCCAAATTTGAACTTACCAAAATACAACGGCCATTGTGACAGGTGAACTCGTCGGGACCGCAGGTCGGTGGGTGCTCTGGACTCATATTGCCGCAATCGTTCTCATCCTCGCCGCCATCGCAGTCCTGCTCCTTGTCGCACTTCCAGCGCTTGGGAATGCACGTGCCATCCGCACACTTGTATTCGCCGGATGTGCATTGCGATGGCTTCTGTTGGCAATTCTCCTCGTCGCTCCAGTCGCCGCAATCATTGTCGCCGTCGCAGCGAAAGCGATTCAGTATACATTGGCCGCTGGGTCCACCGGCCCCGCCGAGACCACCACGGCACTTGAACTCACCCTCCGGGCAGCTGTTGATCACGGCCGGGCACTTCAGCTCGTCCGAATTGTCATCGCAGTCGCGTTCGCCGTCACAGCGAAAGGCCAGGGAAATGCAGTAGCCATCGTTGCAGGTGAAATGCTCATCGGTGCAGCTGCTGCGATTGCAGTGCACCTCGTCCGAAAAATCCTTGCAATCGTTTTCACCATCGCATAGCCATTGCCGCGGAATGCAGAAGCCGTTCTGGCACTCAAACTGATCCTCCGTGCAGTTGGTTCGTGCGCCGCAGTGCGTCTCATCCGAGTAATCGCCGCAGTCGTCGTCACCGTCGCAGAGCCAATCCTTATTGATGCAGCGATAGGTCTTCGGGCACATGACATGCAGTCCGCTCTGCTCGCACTGCTTCTGCAGCTTGGACATCATGTCATCCATATTGTCGCAATCGAACTCGTCGGAGCCATCGGTGCACTGCACCTCGCGATTGCAACGGCCAATTGATTCGATGCACTGACAATTGCTGCACTGCCACTGCAACTCCTCGCAGCTATTGTGGCAGCCAGTGGACGGCGGTGCGCTGAAGCCATCGCCGGGCTGGCCCAGCTGTCGGGGATCATCGTGGACAACAACCCGGTTGGCGAATGGCCGAAAGCCCTTTTGCTTGTTACTGGCGCCGGCAACAAAACCATCGCGACCCCGTGTATTGGCCTGTCTATCCGACTCGCGCACCACATACATATCGCCCCGTCCGCCCTGTGCACCAACGTTACGGAACTTTGGAGTATCACCGGTGCTGGTAGTGCCTGAGCCAGTCATGACATTGTGCTTGTGGGGCATCATTGGCTCCTTGGTAAATACGTGGCCATAAAATTTGTCACTATCCTCATTGTCCTCCAAATGGTCATCAATGTGGTCAAGCCCATGATCATGTTCATGATCATGCTCAGGATCGTGTTCATGTCCATGCTCGTGTTCATGCTCGTGGTCCTGATGTGGTGGATAGTCGGATACGGTGAGATAGTCGTGATCATCTTCCTTATGCAGCAGCTCATCGGCCAACTCCTCCTCATGCACACCGTGTCCATTTCCGTTCGCTGTTCGTGGATGAGCCGATTGATACCAGTTCTGTGGACGCTCTTGGGTATTTTCTGGACCGCCAGCGCGGTTGCTTATGCCACGCTCATATTGTTCACCAAGTCCGTACGTCAAATTGCCAAATCCCAAACCTGCAACGATTATATAATGTAAATATGCTTAGATGCTATGTATATAAACTGTGTATATCGAAATCGGAGAGCCAAGACGATTTCACTATTATTTTTCAATATGCGCTAAAAAGTATGCTATCCATTTGCTCATAACTTAATTCCTTCACTTTAGACTTATGCTTTCGGGAAAATTACTTTTTTGTTTAATTAAAAATTTTGTGCAATTAAAGAATTAACAATTTATTTTGTGCGCTAAGCTAAGACCGCGAACCAGAAAAAATGATCAATGGTTCGATTCTTGACTGGAGCCAATGCCTCGGCTTTGCTTCGGGTTGGGGTGGACACGGTTTTAAATTATTTAATTAACATTAATTAAATTTACTATTTTTATTTCTAGAAAAGTATATAGTATTTTTATATTCACAGCACTCTAACTAACATGAGCGCAATAGTTTCAGTTGAGATCTGCAGATACATGAATGTAGATGTATATGCGTGGGCTAATAAATTAACAGGTGGCATACATATAGGCGTACATACATATATACAACATACACACATACTAAATATAGATGAAAATGAAGGTCAAGCTAATTGAAGGAAAATAAAACGGAAGTGGACAATTGAAATCTGCATTAGGATTTTAATCTAGCATATTAGAATTTAATTAAAAAATGCTGTACATAATCATAGTCCGTTGCAAAGTAGTTAAAAGCTTTTTAAAGGGCTGCCACCTATGTTTACTCTTGTTGTCAGCCCTTAGTGTTGGCTAATCGTTTAAAATTTGTACTAAGGCTCTAGAGAATTTTCTAATGCTAATGCTAATGCCAATTTTCATTGATAAGTACGCAAATGCATATACATGTACAATGTAAGTAGCTGTGTGTGTGGGTGTATAGTGTGTACGTGACAGAGATAAGATACTTACACAAGCATAGCAGGCACACCAAAGGGCAAAACGGCAAGGCTAACAAATACATTGCCAACGCGCACGGACGCACGCACACGCTCACGCACACACTGGCGCGCAGGCACACTGGCACGCACGCACGCAACACTGGCGCTTGTTAAGATGTACGTCTGATGCTGCTGATGCTGCTGCTGCTCCCTCGGCGGCTGCGACAGCTACTGTTGCGGCTGCTGCTGCCGCGGTTGCTGCGGCTCCTGCGGCTGCTGCGGCTGGTTGGCTGTCTGTTGTTGTCTCTTTTTGTTCTATTGGTTTTACTGCGCGTGCGTGTGACGTGCTTCTGATTGGAGTTGGGTGGCTGCTGTGTTGGCGGCTTCTGCTGTTCGCACTTTAATGCGCTTCGCGTTGCGTAGGTGTCACATTCACAAGACCGTATATACATACATATGTACAGAAGCATACATAGTTATGTACATCGGTATACGCTGGCAAGCCAATTCCTTGCCTACACATATGTACACACTTTTCACTTTTCACGATTGCTGTTTTTGTTGTTCCTATCGTTAATACTGTCAATGTTGTTGTTGTCGTTGCCGTGGTTGTTGTTGTTGTTTTTGTTGTTGCTATTGTTTTTGGGCGTTTTAAAGTAAACGCTATTTGCATAGAACATTTGTCAGCTCTAATGCCTCGGACTCTGTTCAATATAACATTTCACTTGTTACACACTTGAAACTATTTGCATTTTGTTGCGGCTTTTAAGCTTTTAAGTATTATTTCTGCTACTATTTATTTATGACTATAGTTGAGATCCGTCGAACGTGCTTAAGCTGCTAATCGATAAGCATGATTTCGTCGCATTTTATTATCTCTTCTCATGTATGTGTATGTGCATGCATTTTGAGTACATGCCCATATACTATATATAATACCTAATTAGTTGCAGCGTTGCATATTTATTATATGTTAAATATAAACTCTAAACTGTTGAGTTTCTATATGCAAGTATACCAATACGTACAGCACACATATATGCATGGGTATCTACATATCTAGAATTGTTACAGAAACGACAGCTTATGATTTTCGAAAATTTTACCGGGCTAACTGTTTCTCAGATTTAAGTTGATATTTGATTTGCCTAGTTAGTTGCCTTCAAATATCATTTCATATTCGTCAGCCTCCTCTAGTGTGCTATTTGTTCATAAGTAGTTACATACATTCATCAATCATTGGCATTCATTATTGTGCCGATTTTTAGTATTTCCTGCTTTTCTCTTTTTGGAAAAATGCCTGTTGCGAGTGCTTTGCAGCATACCTTGAGGCGCTGGCAATTGGTTGACCAATATTTGATTTAGCTATGCAAATCATATTATGAGCCTTGTAATTATCGCATTATCTAGTTTGTATGTCAAACATTAATTAGCTATTGAGATTTGTTGTGGCCTTTAGCTGATGCTGTGCCCACTTGCTTAGATGAAGCTACTTTATGAGCGAGTATATGTGGGCGTGTATGTGTGAGTGTGGGTGTGTGGGTGTTCGTGCGAGTCCGTTTGTGTTAGTATTTGATGCGTGTATGTGTATGTTCCGGCGTGGGAAACACCCACTCTGAAAGTCTACAGGGACAGCAGCATCACCTACGGCCCACGGACTTTTGGACATATGAAAAGTATTCGCTCCAACTTAACATTGTGGCTTGCTTTATGTAAAAATGTAAAAATATAAAAAAAATCTTCTTTGTTAGAATAGAATTTGAGCACGATTTAATGTTTGCTTTCGCTGCACTAAATAAAATATTATGTAGAGCATGCGCATTCACTCACATCTACGCACTGCACAATGTATGTAGATACATATATATATTATGTATTTTAGATTAAAGCCGTTTGGTTAACTAATTTTGACGCGTATTTTGCAATTATTTTGCTTTATACCCTTCGCCCTATATAGGCAGCTAGAGTCGTTGTCGTTGTTGATGTTGTTGTTGCTTTTGTTGTTGCTTTTGTTGTTGTTGTTGTTGTTGTCATATTCGTCGCACAACTTCCTAGCACATTAGTGTGTACATATGTGCTCTGAGCTAATGATTCTGTTGATCCGTTCCGTTTGAATTGCACGCACACAGATAAAAAAAAAATAAAATAAAATGGAAAAATTTCCTGTATTTGTACTGTTCGGCCAATTTTTTGCTGAAGTTTCATGTAATTTGTTGCTGTTGTTGTTGTTGTTGTTGTTGTTGTTGTTGCTATTGTTGCTGTTGTTGCTGCTGTTGTGGTTGAAGCGTGATGTACGTGCGTCAGCTCAATGCTTGGAACGTCTGCTTCCGTGCTCCGTACTACGAAAAATGTGAAATAACCAGAGATTCGCAGCAGCAGTCGGCGTTCTGCTCCCAATTCGCAGCTGAGCCGATTGTCCCACACAATCTGTGTGTGCGTGTGTGCTTTTCTGTGAGAGTGTGTGGGCAGGGAAAAGCTTTCGATTAGTGATAGCTGAGCGTAAACACTGCGAAGACAAACGTTTTCAATGGGCCTTCTGAATGGGCGAGCGCAGCTCACTAATACACTGACAGCATTTGCGCTCACTGTTCCCACACATACACACACGCGCACGCAGATTGCGTAAAACAATGGAATGGTAACTGTAATCGCTGCTGTTGCTGTAGCCTCGTCCTTGTCTTATGCTTGCGTGTGCTCACAAAGCTTTCCTATTTTTGTTTTTGTTTTTGCCAAAGCTCGCTCTGGTCCATGGGCAGCTTTTGCCAGCAGCCCAAAGGCCTGGGCCAGCATCAGAGCTTTTGCCATTGAGTTTCATGCAGGGAGCGAACGCTTCACTCTCAACCCATGTAAAACAGCTGGCAGCCCAAATCAATTGGGCTGGTCGGTCATTTAAGTCCGGCGTTGCCCCTACCCGCTTTCTGCTCTTCTGCTGTAGTGCAAAAACAAAATATTAAATGACTAATCAAACAGTAGATAGCACAAATATACATATATGCATATATATAACCAACAAAAATAGGAGTATAAAAAGTATAAGCATGTTTGTATGCACATGTTTGTACGTAAGCATCTATTCCTTATTCTTCTGTATTTCGAATAAAAATAGAATTGATGTTCATTTATTGTTCATATATGTCACAATCAAAAATGTTTAACAAAATGACAAGCTGTCAATACCAATAAGTCGTAGATGTCCTGAAGTGCTTAAATACTTGACGTTCAGCTGTCACTTTCGTTTAACGCATGCTGCTCATGGGTGTATATGGTATGGGTGTATGTATTCTGTACACCAGGTGGCGCTAGGCAACTGGTAAACGGCGACAACCCTAAATGAGCATTGGCATTTCGTGATTCTGAATGAAGCGTTGCGTGTGGCGGCAGTGGATTGTCGCCGGAATGTAATATGCGCAGGCCCAGGACTTTGGCGAGTGTGCCCACATAAGCATGTTCATCTTCACCCCCATACCCATCCCAATCCCCACCCCCATCCCCATGCCCGCCCCCGTCTCCGTCCCCGTCATCATCATCATCAATTAGAGCAAGAGTTGCAGCAGCCGAAGACGAACGGTAACTGACAGTAATCATTCGTTAGCTAGCAACGGTAGCCGCTCCACACAAACGCTGCCCACGACACGCGTTGCGCGCAGCGATGCGATACAGTGATACATATTTAGATATAGGGCGAGCGGGAAAAAGTGGATGAGAAATCGAGTTTTGGACGGTCGTCTGTGATATACTGTTACTTGAGCGACGTGCTACTGTGTCATCCGATTCGTGTTTGTTTTATTTCTGTTGTTCCTGATAATTTTCTTCGTTTATAAAAATTCTATTTTAAGCGTTTGCGTTTGCGTTTGCGTTTGCGTATGTGTGTGTGTGTGTGTGCGTGTGCGGGTGTGTGTGTGCGCGTGGAAGCGTCATTTCCCATTTGGCAGGGATAATTGTAGACTGAAGCATTATAATTATATGAAATAAACGCAACACAGATGCAAGCGAACAATGCCAACCGAAATGCACACGTTCACACACGTACGCCCACACAGTTATTACACTTGCGTATGTGTACGTGCGCCTATAAATATGTACTCAAAAATAGAAAATCAGAGTACGACACAGTTGCCATTTTCTTTTTTTTTTTTTTGTTTCTTTTTTTTTGCTATAGCTGCCACTGTAAAAATGGGTCAAACACACAAAAGGCAAACGCATAAAATTATGCGCATACAAACATACATACACATGCATACATATGTATGCATATGTATGCATTTATGTACATGTGTAGAGTAACAATAATGAGGGCCACATTAACGAGCAAAAAATTGTATGTGCGAAAAGCCATGAGACGCTCTCACAATACGCTATTAGGGAAAACATATTTTTTATCATATTACGAACATATTTTCGAACATATTCAAGGAATGTGACAGATATAGAAGTCAATGTTTATGTCATTAGGTAGAATTTGAAACGTTGAAGAAGCTTGTGTGCTTTCCAGAGTGTTCAGCAGGCTACAGGAATGTATACGAGCTATATATCTGAGGCTACAGTATTCACATAAAACTATAGCAATATTGCAAATTCAAGAATGACTTATTAGAAAAAGACAGCTTAAACTTGGGAATAGTTTTTGCAACTGCATTTCTGATAAACAATATGCCATGAGCTTATTGGGACATTATTAAAGGACATATTAAACATTGTATGCATACACACATGGCTTACTGCAAAGACACGTGATTGCATGTTTTTTTTTTAATATATATAGCTTATTAATAATATATCTGTGTACATATATACATATACATATATAGCTATATGCATCATAAAATCAACGCTTAAAACAATGCTGCGCTAAGTAATCAAAAGTAGAAATAAGCGTTTCACCTCCGAACGGAAGCCAATGCCATCCGGAATCAAACTGAAAATACCAGCAGAAACAATGCCAACCAGTTGAGAATTACAGTGAGATAGCAACAGCAACTGTTAACGCTGCCAATATGACTAGTTTTGGCCACCTGGGCGTATGTTACAGCCTGCTGCTGTTAGTGCTGAGCGCCCAGCTATCATTAGTACGGTAAGTCATGGAGTTAAGATCAACATTTTGTCTGTACGACGAATTCAAGAACATTATGGTTCTATTGTCAGCAGACTCTGCTGTCTACTCTAGGATTGTAAACACCCCCTTGTTCCCCATTCTAAGCTTTAACAAATTGAGAATTGCAAGCGTCAAGCAAAGAAACAAGAAATGCAAATGGGACAAAAACTGTGCTTGTGGCCACTAAATCATTATTATTATTTATTGTACTTAGTACAACAACTTTTGCAAGTGCACAATTATTTAAAAAATATTTAATACAAGTATTTTTATATGCTATTCTTGCACAGATGCAAGCGAAAAGAAATGCTCGCAGGCCGCTTAGAGAATGTAACCCAGACGATCTCAAAAATATTGCAAGGATATGATATACGGCTGCGGCCCAATTTTGGAGGCGAGCCATTACACGTGGGCATGGATTTGACTATAGCAAGTTTTGATGCGATCTCAGAAGTTAATATGGTGAGCCTCAATACTGCTACAAAGTGCATGAATCATATAGTAAACGGCATTCCATTTTATACAGGACTATACTATAACAATGTATTTGAATCAGTATTGGCGCGACGAGCGCCTGGCTTTCAACATCTACGGACCGTACTATGATTCCGATGCAGACGACGATGGGGTCAACGATGTGCTGACGCTATCTGGTGACTTTGCCGAGAAGATCTGGGTCCCAGACACTTTCTTTGCCAACGACAAGAACAGGTCAGTCGTTTGATCAGGCAGCTACAGCTCTTGCATATAAACATATCATACTTATCTGTTATACTAGCTTCCTACATGATGTCACTGAGCGCAATAAGTTGGTGCGCCTCGGTGGCGACGGCGCCGTTACCTATGGCATGCGCTTTACCACGACACTCGCCTGCATGATGGATTTGCACTATTACCCACTGGACTCGCAGAACTGCACCGTGGAAATTGAGAGCTGTAAGTAAAGTAGCTTAATGATTGTTTTATTCTGGAGTGCGATATGTCTATTTTCGGTTTTCGTTATCAATCACCCTACCCAACACCATTACCACCTTTCTTTCTGACTTCTTTTAGCTTACATTTTGCTTTCAGTTTAAGGTACATTTTTGCTTGCATTTGCAGATAGAGAGCTCATGCCATTCTTGTCTAATCCATACACAATAAGTTGAAATTCGAACCAATCTATTTGGTGTCCAATCATTTTCAATGTGTCCAAACATTTTTCATTTCTATTCGATGTGAAGAACCGGACAATGTCGGCTCATTTCTGCTAATCATGATCCAGCTTTAGTTATACAAATATTTAAGTTTCAAGTTTTCAGTACCCGTTCACTTATAACACAACCTCAAATTCAGATTAGATAAGATATTTAAGTTAACTCTTGTTTTTTAGACGGGTACACGGTCAGCGATGTGGTCATGTACTGGAAGCCAACACCGGTACGCGGCGTGGAGGACGCCGAACTGCCACAGTTTACGATCATTGGCTATGAGACAAACGATAGGAAGGAACGGCTGGCCACTGGCGTCTACCAGCGGCTGTCGCTCTCCTTTAAGTTGCAGCGCAATATTGGATACTTTGTGTTCCAGACATACTTGCCCAGCATATTAATCGTGATGCTATCTTGGGTATCATTCTGGATTAACCACGAGGCGACGAGCGCACGAGTTGCCCTCGGGATCACAACGGTGCTGACCATGACCACGATCAGTACGGGGGTACGCAGCTCCTTGCCCCGCATCTCCTACGTGAAGGCCATTGACATCTATTTGGTGATGTGCTTCGTGTTCGTGTTTGCCGCTCTCCTGGAATACGCTGCAGTCAATTATACATATTGGGGCAAGCGGGCCAAAAAGAAGATCAAAAAGCTGAAGGATTGTGATCGACATAAAATAGGTAACATCAAATATCCTAGTTTATGTAAACGAGTTGTAATACATTGAATTGATACTGTTATCGTTAGTGTGAGTTATCAAATAGGTGTGACAACCCAAATCTTAGGATGGACATCGAATCTAAGGAAAAGTAACACCACGTTATTCCTGTTGCTTAGAATGTTGTGATAAAATCCATGGTTTTAAACCGAATTACTTTCACTTAAACTGAATCGGTTCCCAAAAGTCAATCGAACAGTAATCAAACTATAATTTTCTGCAAAATGATTTGGGTAATAACACTTTGAGGGGAGAAATAGCTCTAAAGCATGAACCCAACCATTGCATGTATCTTAACGTATTTGGATATGCCAGTAAGTAAAGCAAGTAAGTTCCAGTGGGAAATATTCTCGAAATACCAAATGTTGTGTTTCTAGCTCTTATAAGCTCTGAGTTATGCTCAAAAACCAAAATGTTGATAAAGATTCCTATCGATTTCATGGACTCACGGCAAGTTATTGATGAAAACCGATCTGCGCGGGCAATAGTTGAAGTTTTGTATGTTTTAAGTCCCTAGCTTTTTTGTTCTTGGGTAGAAAACTTTAATATTATGTTATGCGAATAAAAGGCAGGTGAAAGACTTAAGGCACATTGATTGAATTGATTGATAGAAGCTCAAAAATAAGCTCATTGTCTGCTTTTCCTAGGAAATTGCTGACTTCTCACGATTTGTGCATTTGTTTACACAGGCAAATTGGAAAAGTCCGAAACGTGTTCAACCACAGAAGATATTATTGAGCTGCAGGACGTACGCATGAGTCCTATACCTTCGTTGCGCAAAGGTAACTACAATGTAACTCTCGGCTCCATTGGCACCGAGACCATGGACTTGGCCAAGTTTCCGCCAAGTTTTCGTATTACCCGTAACTATGGCACTGGTCGCAGTCAGCTCCGACATCGCGGCCAAAGGGGTAAGTGTGACAAATGGATCTCATATTTATTCCAATATTAATGCTCTCTCTTTCTCTCTGTTTCTCTCTCTTTCTTTCGCTCTCGAACAGGAATCTCAACGCGTCCGCGCGTTATGCATGCCATTAAAAAGAGCGCCTCGGCCATTAGGGCGACATTACCAAAGATCAAAGATGTTAACATTATTGACAAGTATTCGCGCTTGATATTCCCGATTAGCTTCTGTGCTTTCAATCTTGGCTACTGGATCTTCTACATATTAGAATAGGTAGTCGCGGCTGAAAGTCTTAGTAATACCTGCCCAAGTATCATTGCCCCTGGCCACCACCTGCTGCCCTCCCACTGATAAACCATATATGATATATATATATATATATATATATATATACATATATTTATATTTATATATATATGCATATATATACTATATATATATATATATATTGACATTGACCAATTTATATAAATGAATGACAAGCCCGCAACATAAACACATATATACATATACATGCGATATATATACATGCATACATACATACATATGAGTATATTGTTAAGTATTGCTATTCACAATAGATAAATCACAGTAATTGTGTTCCCAGTAATTTGAAAATTTAGGTACACAATTAAATTAAGTACGAGTTTAGCCAAATTGTGCAAGGAATTGGTATGCATTTGGCAAAATATGGACTCGAGCTGCTCGTCATAACCAATTACTTAATATTAAGCAAACAATTTGAACCACGGAGCCAGCTCGATGTGTCAAAAATAATTTCCTCTTGTTCTTTCAAATGCTTTTCATTGTTATCCATAATAATATTCACAATATCACTGAGATCATTTACTGTATATTTCTTAGAAATGTTATTTAAATGGTTTACATATTTTACACAAACTGCATTTTTATTTCACTTTATTCGGGTAGCAATGCGGGAAGATGTCTTCAACAGATCTTAACTCGTATAGTTAAGATCATATTGTGTTTAGGCTACGGAGCTTTTGTGTTGAATTAACTAATTAAACACAAATTTCTGCAGTCCAACAAATGGCTGTTACTATACAAGCCAGCGCGTATACCATTTGCGAATTGTAAGCACTCCAAATTTGTTAATATGATAACTATTTGAATTTAAGAAAGTCAAATCTTGTTCAATGGCAACTCTTTATTTATTACCAAAAAAAAAAAAAACCCCCAAGTCTTTAGCTTACATGGGGATTGTGGTTACGTGTGCTTAACCTGGAAGCAGCCTTTCGATTGGGCTCAAGCTTTAATCATGGACCAGGAAAACTCTTTCTTATACATGCCATAGGCCAGCCAATAGAGCAAATTGAACAAGGCAAAGGTCATGGGAAAGGCAACACGTGCAACTTGATCAATCAATGATATGCTGTTCACATAACTGGCGCCACGTCCCTGGCCGCTCTTCTCGGCGGCGGCATCGCGTTCGCGTTGCTTGCGAAACTTGAGGTCCCCTTTGAGACAGAGCCACATCTGACGCATGCGGGAAACGGCGGGCGGCTCAGTTTGTGTGGTGCGCTCCATGGTCGAGGCATGCGACGAGAGTTTGGGAAATATGTGGGCGGGCGCCTGTTGCTGATTCTACTCAAAAAGTAACAAAATAAAAAGGTCACTTTGCAAAATCTTTGGCTCTGTCACTTACATTATAAATGGGGCAGCTAAACGTGCTATGTTTGGGGTAGCCCCCGCCATTCAGCTCGGCCGGTAACGGCAGCTCACAGTGAAGTGCATCGTGGTCGGCGAAGACAAATACATCGCTATCCGAGTTAGCTGGCTCGCTGTCATCGCTGGCCTCGGCGGCATCGGCAATTTCGCCCGAGGAGAAGCCCAGGGCACCAACATCCTCCCACTCATCCTCCAGCCGCGGAAACTCGCCGCTACCCAGCTTGGTGAAGTAGTGTACACCGGCAAATTCCAAGAGCGTGGCAATGCAATATAGAAAACTCATGAGCAGAAACCAGTCCAGAGCCGTCGCATACTTGACCTTAGGCAGATCGGTGCGTGAGTCCAGGCTAATGGTCGACAGCGTTAGCACAGCCGTCACACAGAGGCCAACGCGATCGCTGGTGGCCTCGCGATGTATCCAGAAGGAGACCCAGGAAAGCACCACAATCAATATGCAGGGCACATAGACCTGCCGTAAGGCGCATCCTGAAGCATTTAGAGTCAACAAAATCATTTAGTTGGTGCTCACCTGTATTAGAAAATAGCCCGTGTGCCGCTTCAGATTGAATGCCACATGCAACACACTAAAGTCGCCCTCACGACGGGTGGATGTGAAATTGCGGTGCATCATGCTGATCAAATCGAACTGGTTAAGGGTCATGCCCGGCACAAAGGAGACAGCATCATCATGATTTTGCCACTCGTATACCAGCTGCTGATTGGTGTAGCCATCTGCAAAGGATTCACATGTTTCAGATGGCTGCAGACCATGTAAGGAACTCAGCTCTGTTGAATACCCACAGCTGCCTATGATGAGTGGACAGGACTGTCGATCCATGGGAAAGTTCTTCAGCTCCATCGGGCAAGTGGCTTTGATGGTTAGCCTGTAAAGTGGAGTTGGAATTAGCAACTATTTAACTGGGCTTGGTAGATTGGTAGATGGGTTCGGTCTACCGCATTGAGTAGAGTATGCCGCCATCCTGGTCCAGTCGCAGCAGCTTATTGGGCACGGTAATTGTGTGTATATGCGAGTGTTTGCCATTGTAAAAGTATGTGTCGGGTCGCCAGATTTTGTCCAGCATTTTGATGCTCAGCGATAAGCTCTTAATGGGCCCCTGAAAGCTCAGCCGCTTGTCGCGCCAATACTGACGGAAATAGCAATCCATGGAGTAGTCCATATCCAGCTCCGACACGGGTCCCATGCTGCGTATGAGTATATTGGTGCGAACCACAGTTGGCAGCCCCTGGCCATGTGTGGGCAGTTGGGATTGCTCGTAACGCTTCAGTAGATTCTCCAAAATGCTTGATATATTCCGGCTAAGCATATCCGCTGAGGCGGTGCGCGGCCGCGCTGAACGCCCCGGACCGCTAGACTTAAGAGCAGCCGTATCATTCACAAGCCGCCGACTGAGGCGACTTTTGACCGTGCTGCTTACCGGCACGGTTGAAAGTGCGCGAAAGGACTCGTATATGCGACTGGCCTTGAACTCGCTGGTTATTAACGGCATTTTTGTTGACTGTGCCGTTCCAGACACTGACACCTTATCACCAGGTGTGGTAACATTGGAAATGCTTTGAGCACGATCGAGTAGGCATACGTAAATTACGCAGCTGTGAAAGAGTTTCCTTCATTTACAAAACATTTCGCAATATACAAAATACAAATACCATTTGATAGTTCGACTCACTATATGGTATCAGAAAATAAATAAAAGCCAAACTAAATTTTGAATTTATTTTTTTAGTTTGCAATTGGGGCATAATTATTTATTTTAATATTTATTTCAAAAGGTACGATCTTGAAGTTCTGGTAAATGGATCCCTCGCAGCCTCCCTTTTACCTTAACTGATCGTCCCCTGCGCTTTTAAAAGTGCTTTTGGCCAGTAGGCTTGGTTGAGCAGCGAGTTTATTCAGAATACATTAACTTAACCTTTTCGAGGCCTACATATAGTTCGACTATCATCATGATTACACTATAATATAATATATATTTGAATTGAATCTGAATTTCGGATTATTTGCCTGCGACTCGAAGCCGATCCAAATGAGTAAATGCTTATTTATGCTTATGCTTATTGAATACACTCATTCAATACCAAGTAAAAACTCTATTTGAGATTTTAGTTTCACAACCCAATAAAATAGTCTGGCTCAAGCCCACATAATACCTATAGAGTGCAACTAAACACGTGCCAGCAAAATGAAGTGCTCAAAACGGCCAAACAGCTCAATGAAAGCAATTTATGTTTTATAATTTTCATGGGTTTTCTTTTTGCATTGTTCAACACTTGAAGTGGCTTTAACAATTAAACACTTGAGCTGGAAATTGTTAAGCTAAAGTGTGCAATAAGCAGTCGTTGCAACCGCAAGATACCCCTTAAAGCAGCCAACCATAGAAGTACAGCTGAAGCATAATACTTAACAAGCTGCATGCTGTGCAACCAGTTAATTAACTGGTCTCTTTTATAAATAATCGACATTAATTGGTATCTTTTATAAATAATCGACATTAAATTGACATATCCAGCGAATGCCCTTTCGGCTTTTTGTTATGTTATGTAAATATATACCCCATTTGTGACTAGGTTACGAGGTATAGAAAGTGTGACATTTTTGAACAATGGGAACAACGTTGGCGTGGGCGTCAGTGGCAACATGAAAACAACACGAAAAGTACAACAACAACAACAAGAAATGCCGTTTACAGGATAACAAAAGAGTGCCTGGATAATTTGTACAGTAGACCCATGATTATGCACATGTGTTGTGCATTTGTGTGCATTTCACATTTACGCACACGAGGACGCATATTTGCTTAAACGATTTCAAAAATGTACGAAATTCTAGCATAATCTACAAAAACCTAGTAACAATATTGATTGCGATTGCAATTTGTTGACTTATAACAGAATTCTGCTAAATATTCTGTAAGACAACAGAACATCTGGAACATAACCTAAAATTTTAACTAAGTGCTTGCATATTTAGGAATATTTTCTTAACAACAGTTGAACTAAGTTTTTGGGTACTATGAACTGTCCGCTAATCTGTGATCTTTGTTTCAAAGGGTTGCCAGGGAACTAGACATGCATAGGGCATACGAAAAGTAGAAACTACAAATGATTTAATATTTCTGGCCCCACTGTGCAACGTGAGCTGTTTACTGGCCGCGGGTGCTTTGCAGCTTTTGAATCGCTTAATAAAAAAAAAAAATAAAACAAAACCATGTTATTCAGTTCACGACCTTGCGACCGTTTCCAATGATGTGCCTGGGTAATCTCGGCGTTTGGGCGCGTGAATGTCTACAAATGTCGATGTTACGCCTCCGGGCTCTTTGGGCCGGACTTGGAAATGTGGCCGTTGATGTAGACTCTTAATTACTTCCTTTTGAAAGGCATAGAACTATAGTTCAAAAAAATGAAAATGCCAACTTTCTTATATAGTGCATATAGCCAGTTGGGTTAGTGCAGCTCTCACTCACTTAGCATTTTTCCACTTCTCAATCTCCCCCCTCACTAGGCCACCCTCTCACTATGCTAAAAAATTGCTTGATTCGCAAAATAATAGCTGCATGCAGCACGTT